ACATATTAATGCAGTTCCAATCAAAATCACAGTAGGGTTTTTTATATATACAGACAAGCTATTTCTAAAATGTACATGGAAAAGCAAAGAAGTCCAAATAGCTAAAACAATTTGAAAAAGAAGAACCATACTAATCATACTACCCAATTTTAAGAACTACTATAAAGATACAGTAATCAAGACAGCGTGATATTGGTAAATTGACAGAGATCCACAGATCAATGGAACAGAATAAAGAGTCCAGAAATAGACTCACACAAATATGACCAGTTTATTTTTCACAAAGGTGCAAAGGAAATTCAGTAGAGAAGAACAGTCTTTTTAACAAACGGTGTTGGAACAACTGGCCATTCATATGCAAAAAACATGGACCTTGACATAAACCTCCCTCCTTACACAAAAATTACATCAAAATGAATCCTAGATCAGAATGTAAAGCACATGACTATAAAGCTTTCAGAAGAAAATATAAGAGAAAATCTTCATAACCTAGGGTTAGGCTAAAACTTCTTAGATACAATACCAAAAGCATGATCCATTTAAAAAACAACAATAAATTGAACTTCACCAAAATTAAAACTTTTTTCTCTGCAAAAGACACTTTTAGGAGACTGTAAAGACAAGCTACAGACTAGGAAAAATATTTGTAAATGCCATCAGACAAGGGATTTGTATCTAGAATATATTTTTAAGTGCTCACAACTCTATAGTAAGAAATAAAATTTAAAAATGGGCAAAAGATTTGAACAGACACTTCACCAAAGAGGATACATGGAAGGCAAGTAATAAGCAAATAAAAAGATGTTTAACATTATTACCCATTAGAGAAATTTAAATTAAAATCACAATGAGACACTATTACAGACCTATGAGAATGGCAATATGAGGTGTTAATGATGCAGAGCATCTAAAACTCTCATATATTGCTGGTGGGAACAGCCACTATGAAAAACAGTTTGACAGGTCCTTATAAAGTTACAGTATACACTTACAATCCACCCAACAATCTCCCTCCTGGGTATTTATTCTAGAGACATAAAAACATATATTCACACAAAAATCTATATACAAACGTTCATGGCAGCTTTTTTTGTAATAGACAAAATCTGGAAACAACCCCAATTTCCTTCAACAGGTGAACAGATAAATAAATTTGGTACACCCATACAGAATACTACCCAGCAACAAAAAAGGAATGAACTACTAATACATTAAATGACTGAATGAATCTCAAAGGCATCGTGTTGACTGAAGAAAATGGTTTCAAAGGTTACATATGTATACCATTACATGATATTCTTTAAAAGACAAAACTACAGTGATAGAGAAAAGATCAGCAGTTGCCAAGGGTTAAGGATTAGGGGGAAGATGTGTCTACAAAGCAAAAGCACGCAGGATTTTTGTTTTAAGTCATAGAACTATTCCGTATTTTAATTATGGTAAGGGTTATACTAATCTACATATATGTTAAAATTCATAGGACTGTATACCAAAAAATAGTAAACTGCACTACACGTTAATTTAAAAATTAAATTTTAAAAAACTCTTATCAACATTAAAGAAGAGCAGGAATTCAGCACAATAGTGTATTTACTCACAGAGCTCTTCACTACGATTTGATGAAGAAAGGAAATAGGTGGAATAAGACTATTACCATACTTAAATGATATTTTATGATAGCTCCCAGGAACATAATATTTGGGACATTTACTTTCATCCCTCTGATAAAGAATAGATAACTTATGCAATAATGAAAATGATGCCAGTTTAATAATTTCTATGGTTACGATGGTTCAATAAAACCAGACAACTTTAAATACACATGCCAGCAGAAAGCTAACACTTGTGAATAGTTCATTAGGGAGTGGGGTTCCCACTGATTACTACCGGGGCAGCTTTACTGAGGTATAACTGATGTACAATAAACTACATATACCAAAAATATATAGTATGATTCGTTTGCTTTTTAATTTTTATTTATTTATTTTTTTTGAGGAAGATCAGCCCTGAGCTAACATCTGCCACCAATCCTCCACTTTTTGCTAAGGGGAAGATTGGCCCTGAGCTAACATCCATGCCCATCTTCCTCTATTTTATATGTGGGATGCCTGACACAGCGTGGCTTAATGAGCAGTGCAGAGGTCCGCGCCTGGGATCTGAACCAGCAAACGCTGGGCCGCCGAAGCGGAGCACCTGAACTTAACTGCTACACCACCAGGAAGCCCCTAGTGTGATTAGTTTTGATATACATATACACCTACAAAATCATCACTACAATCAAACTAATGAATATAGTGATCATGCCAAAAAACTCCCTCGTGCCCCTTTATAATCCATCCCTCCCTTCAGCTCTACCCTCAAACCCCAGAGCATTGATGATCTCCTTTCTGTCACTATAGATAAGTCTGCTTTTTTTTTAAAGAATTTCATATAAATAGAACATAAAGTATGTACTCTTTCTTTCCTCTGGCTTCTTTCACTTGGCAGAATTATTTTCAGATTCCTTCATATTATCAGATGTACTAATAGTTCATTCCTTTTTATTGCTAAGTAGTATTCCAATGGATATACAGCAGGCTGTTCATCCATTCACCCACTGATGGACATATGGGTTGTTCCTATTTTTTGGCTATTACAAATAAAATATCTTTGAATATTTGTGTATAAGTCTTTGTGTGAACAGACACTTTCATTTCTCTTGGTTAAATACCCAGGAGCAAAATGGCTCACTCATATGGTAGGTGTATGTTTAAACTTTTAACGAACTGCCAAATTGTTTTCCAAAGTGGTTGCTCCATTTACACTCCCCTCAGCAATACATGAGAGTTCTAGTTGCTACATATCTTAGCCAACACTTGGTATGGTCAGTCTTTATATTTTAGACATTATAGTGGGTGCAAAGTAGTATCTCATTTTGGTTTTAATTTGCATTTCCCTAATGACTACTGATGTTGAGAGCATCTTTTCACATGCTTATCTGCCATCCAGCCATCTCATTTGGTAAAGGCCTATTTAAACATTCACCCGTTTTTTAATTGGGTTGTTGTCGTCTTATTGAGTTGTAAGAGTTCTTGGAGATCTGGATATGTCTTTTGTCAGGTATATGTTTTACAAATATTTTCTCCCAAACTGTGGGTGACTTGCCTTTTACTTTCATAACATTGTCTTTTGAAGAGCAAAGTTTTAAATTTTGATGAAATCTATATTATTGAGTTTTTCTTTTATACTTGATGCTTTTTGTGTCCTATTGCAAGAAATCTTTGCCAAACTCAAAGTGAATAAATTCCAGAGTTTTAGAAACTGAGGTTTTACGTTGAGGTCTAATATACATTTAGAGTTAATTCTTATATATTGTACAAGGAATGAATCAAAGTTTATTTTTATATATAAGCATCCAACTGCTACAGTACCATTTGCTGAAGACTCTCTTTTCCCTCACAGAATTGCCTTGGCACCTTTTTCAAAAAGCAGTTGACCATATATTACTAGGTCTACTTCTACCGTCTCTATTCTGTTCCGTTGATCTGTATTGTCTAACCTTACACCAACATCACACTGTCTTGATTTACTGTAATTTTATTCAGATTTAAAATTAGGTAGCTTAAATTCTCCAATTTTATTCTTTTTCAAAATTATTTTAGCTATCCCAGATCCTACGTATTTTCACATAAATTACAAAATCTGATTATCAATTACTGCAAACAAAAAAAAAAAGCCAGAGCATTTTTGTTGAAATTGTATTCAATCTATAGATCAACTAAAGAAGAACTCACATCCATACAACATTGAGTCTTCCAGGCCATAAACATAGTGCATCTCTCCATTTACTTGTGTCTCTCTTTAATTTCTCTCAACAATACTCTGTAGTTATCAGTGTATAAGTCTTGCACATCTTTTGTTAAATTTATCCCTAAAGATTCCAGATTTTTGATACTTTTATAAGTTTTATTTCAATTTCCTATTGTTTGTTGCTACTATATAGAAACACAATTATACTGATTTTGTATCCTGCAATCTTGCTAAACTTACTTGTTAGTTCTAGCTCTATGCACATTCCTAAAGATTTTCTACATAATTAATGTCATCTGCGAAGAAAGGCAGCTTTACTTCTTTATTTTCAAATTGTATGCCTTTTATTTCTTTTTGTGCCTTATTACACTGGCTAGAACTGGCCTGCCCACCAAATCCATCCCACTGCTTATTTTTGTATGGCCTCCAAGCCAAGAATGGTCTTCATATTTTTAAATGTTCAAAACAAAACTATTTTGTATCAAAGAATATTATTTCTTTCATACACGAAAATTACATGCAATTCAAACGTCAATGTCCATAAATAAAATTTTATTGGAACAGAGACACACCATTCATTTTCCTGCTGTTTATGGCTGCTTTCACACTACAGCAGCAGAGACCATATGGCCCACAAAGCCTACAATATTTACCATCTGGCCCTTTATACAGAATTTTGCTGACCCCTGGGCTGGAACTTCCAGTACAATGTTAAGCAGAAGTGAGAACAGACATCGTTCCCTTGTTCATACTTAACCCCTCATAATTCACAGGAAGAATGGGTTCAAACTATGGATAAGAAATAGCTGTTTGGTTTACACTGAAAGCAGGAACATTTACTCAAGGCTCATTTAACATTTATTTTCCACATATGCATGAAATGCTTCCAGATTAACATAGGACAAAATCATCTTCACTGTTAATCTTGACTTTAACAAAACTAAAAGAACAACATAGTATGTAAAATATATATCAAGCCAATTTGTAGAAAGTATGCAATAGGTGATAAGTGTATCAACAGTTTATGATAAAACTTTAAAAAGAGGGGAAAAAAATAATTTTCTACTAAAATTCTACCACTGCTTTTCATCCAGAGTAATACGTTAAGGAAAACCACTAGAAAATCATCACTTATATACTGAAATGAATATATAAATGACTATATATATATATATATATATAAAATCTATTTCAATAAAAAAATAACATACCCACAATAAAAGGCAGCCATAAGCATACAAGTCAGAACTTGGAGAAGCAGGTTTTCCCATTTTCAATTCAGGTGATACCAAACTCAAGTCACCAACCATCATGTTCACTGAGGCTCGCTGACTCTACAAAAACAATAGGTTAAATATTTTAGCAGCAACACAGTCGAAGTGGCCTTCTGTGAAGTACTCTGCATTTAATAAGGACAACAAATTTATTTGAAATATTTCATTCTCTCATGCTTCCAAATAATTTTACCTTGTTTCTGTTGTTATAAATTGCTCTTAAAATCAAAATAAAATTAACAGTGAGACTTTGGTTACATTTCACACTGTAGACTCAAGTGGATTCAAAACTAACAACCACTGATTCTTGAAACATTTGGTACTATTTTTCTTTAAATAAATTTCATAACGGCAAGAGGCAGTGCTATTTTCCAATTCTCAAAATTCTAAGCTTTTTTAAAAACTGAAAGCCTACAAAGTACTTTCCTTCCTTACTGACCATATTCTAACTAAGCATATCATTTCTAATGTGTCAAAGGATGACCAGTGACGAGAACATGAATCCTGGATTCAGTCAGAGCTTGGCTGCAATTTCCACTCTCCCACTTATCTGCTGTGTGACCTTGGGTTTTAACCTCTTTGAGCCTAAATTAATTAATTTGTAAAATGGAAATAATATCTACCTTAAAGAGTTATTGTAAAGATAAAGGTAATTAGAATATATCACTAAATGTTCATTATCTCTTCTCTTCCTCCTATCTTTATCCTTGCTTCTCAGAGTGTGGTCCAAAGACCAGTAGCTACAGCATTACCTGGGAGCTTGTTTGAAATGCAGAATCTCCATCCCAGAGATGCTGAATAAAAAATTGCATTTTAACAAGATTCCCAGGTGATTCATATGCACTGTAAAGTCTGAGAAGCAATGATCTATGGACTACTTTTCAGATTTGTCTTCCTGGTTAATACTTCAATCTGAAAGTCGTGTGAAAAATGGAGGAAAAGGTAAGTTTAATCAATATTTCAGAGTGAATAATTTTAAATGAAGATTAAAACAACATTTTGGGGGATAATAGCTGAAAATTAGAATAAAAGAGGAAGAATAATTCTTGGAGTAGTCATGGTAACATTAGTTGTGCAAATGGTATGCTCAAAAGGTAAACTAACCAGGATTCCTAACAATTGAGAACTTTTTAAAAAACTCATAATTCAGTTGTTTTTCTTAAGGACATTATCTTAATTTTCAGATAAATTAATATGATCAAATAAATCTCTAAGCAAATCTACTTTGTATAAATCCTTCATAATCCAGCATTTCACTATAATTTTACATTTTAATTTTCTCATCTTTTTGAGCTACCACTGAGACTATATATACACATGTGGCATCACCCTATGACTTGTAGATGACCAAAGTATAAAGCATTATGACTTCTACTAGTCACAAGGGAACTACTCAGACAATAAAATGTTGGCAAGAATGTAGAAAAATTAGAATCCTCATACATTGCTGACGAGAATATAAAACAGCAGCCACTCTGAAAAATAGTTTGGGTCCTCAAAAAGTGAAACACAGAGTTACCATATAACCCAACAATTCCACTCCCAAGAGAAATGAAAACATATGTCCACACAAAAACTTGTACATTAATGTTCACAGCAGCATTATACATAATAATCAAAAAGTGGAAACAACCCAAATGTCCATCAACTGATGAATATAAAAACAAAATATGGTACATCCATAACAATGAAATATTTGGGCAGTTTTAAAAAGGAATGATGTTCAGATGCATCCTACAACGTGGATCAACCTTGAAAATTATGCTAACTGAAGTAAGCCAATCACAAAAGACCACATATTGTATGATTCCATTTATAGAAAATGCCCAGATTACACAAATCCATAGAGACACTCAGTAAATTAGTGGTTTCCAAGAGGGTGAGCAGAGGAGGAAATGGGGAGCAAATCAGTATGGGGTTTTTTCCTAGGGGTGATAAAAATGTTCTGGAATTAAATAGTGGTGATCCATGTACAACTTTGTGAATATATTAAAAACTACTACTCAATTATAACATTATGATATGTGAATTACATATCAATAAAGCTGTTACTTTAAAAAAAAGAATGGCTCCCTTGTGAGCATGTATCTTTTGAGACAGCCTATTCTACCAAAAAGGAAAAAAAAACATCACAATTTGCTCTTAAACTGCCTGATGTTTGCTATCTCTATAAACTGCCTGTTCTGAGGTAATACACACCAAATTAACAGCCCATGTAGTTGAACTAGCGCTTAAACAAAATGGAAAAGTCCAAGTTCTAGGGTTCTGAAAAGATTATTAATCAAAAAACAGTAAAGTACATATATCTAAATTTAATGTACTAGTGGGGAGGACACTAGCAGAGGGGGAGATGAGAGATGGCCACCCAGCTTTCCTTATGTATTTCCTAGTAATTAATGTTTCTTGATAATGATTAATTAATTAATGATTAATGCTATCAATGCTATTGACTGTGATGTCAGGTGGTTCCTAAAATTTACGGTTAAAAAATATAATGCACAAATTTAGGAACTCTTGTTCCAGCACCTGATGATAACAGATAACTGCTTACACTACATCACATCGTTATGAAGGCAAAGATTTTATGATCAATTACCATATCATGGAAAAGTGCTGAACTACTGCCTAATAATATTAAATGAAATCTAGAACCTATTTGTAAAACCACAGTATTTTACCACAGATTTGGTGAAGTCAAAATCTCCGACAATCCCTTGTTCACGGTTTAAAGCAAATACATTGTTCTGATGAAGTGATCCATGAATTATCTCAGCCTTGTGCAATGTATGCAGGCCCTGGGCAACACCTTTCATGACCTTTAAAGCTTCCTAAAGATAAGTACACACAAAAGAAATCAGGAAGTAGGCAAATCATTTTAATACCTGAACCTTTTCTCTAATTAAAAGACTTATCCAGGAGTGAGTAAAGCTTCCTCCAAATGAACCTTTAATAAGAATAGAGCATAGAGAAAGAATTAAAGGCCAGAAGCCCTGATTACATTAACTGGTAACATCATATATATATATATATATATATATATATATATATATAAACAAGATACAGCAGTCTCTAAGACTTAGACTACAAATAATGACTATATAAAGCATCTAAAGAGACTGAAATAGTGTTATTGGTAGGAAGAATCAGAGCATCCTTTATTGTTATTACTAATTCAAAGTTACAAAAGAAATTAAAGCTATCACTTAGGCACTTATAATACCAAGTGCTTGACAATGCAGTCCACATACACCATAGCTAAATAGTTATAAGCATGGGCTTTGGTACCAAAAAGATCTAATTTCAAGTCCCAACTCTGCCTCTGGCTAAGAAACCCCGTGCAAGTGACTTATCTCTGTGAGCCTCATTTTTCTTCTCTGTATGTTAAGAGGACAACATATCACAGGGTCGATGTGACAACTAAATAGAATAGTATGAGTCAAAATTTTACATAGTATAAACCATGTAGTATGCCCTCAATAAATATCAGGTGTTATTTTCTCATTTAATATATCCACAGAAATAGTGTTTTTACTTACTTCTGAAGTTAAAGGCATACTGACTTGAATAGCACTCAGGTTTGCCCTAGGATAGTATGGGACCATCAGATAAGCCAGAGGATCAGACTAAGAAAAAGAGAGAATGAGACTCAAAGTGAAAAATTCTTCAATACATTTTTAGTATATGCTGATTGTACAGAATAATTTTTTCTTTATGTTAAAAGGAGTAAGTTACTTCTCTAAGACTTGGAGCTAAAACTTATTTTAAATAAAATGTTTTCTGTAAGAGATTAGCATAGGAACTTTACCTTACACAAAAATAGGAACATCAATGGTAGTAACCCAGACTCTTCTTTAGCTTCTCTCCAAGCTCTGTGATAGGCGGCTGCTCTCTGAATCACCCTGGCTTCTGTGTCAACATCCACAGAATAGCCCTGCACCAAAAGAAGAGGCACTGAACTTCCAAGATTAAAAATCCCACTCTGATTATACATCACTCCAATTTAAACAAAATGACTTTTATGTAACTTAAATTACATCTAATTTTATTTTTCAATTGTATAAGTACCTTTTCATCTACTTTGAATGCTATAACTTAGAAAAGAAAGAACAATTCTACTTATAGTTTAATATACATTCTACAACGTGTAGCCATTAAGGCCAAAATAATTATCCTATTATCATGATTAACAGTTTCCCAGATTAATGAAGAGAAGAAAGAAAAGAATAGAAGACTGTGTTGGCAAAACAGTTGAGATTTCAAACAGAAATGTAAGAATAAGAATTTTAAAAAGTTATTGGATAGAATGTAGTAAGATAAGTTCACCTGAAAAAGGAAAGCCAAGTATATCCTATTAAAGACAAATATTATTTAGGGAAATGAGGGGAACTTTAAATTCAAAATTAGTTCTGGCAACAAACTGGAAACATAAGCATCATGCTAGTCAACTCATATAATTTAGAAAAGAGTGCGTTTTTAACTTTCCTTAAAAGTAACACCACCACTCCGCTTTATATTTCTGGATCAACTATAAGTCTGAAGAACTTAAACTTACCTTTAAAAGAATTATCTGCCCATTAACCTCAGAACATACCAAAGGACGCTTGCTGCTAAGTTCCTTCATGGGCTCAGCATCAAGAATATCCCGCTCCAAGCTCATAGTAAGAAGACCATCAGAGTTCTAGGCACAAGTTTTTGTTACAGTTGAAGAATCCAAACAATCCCAGCACTTTTAAATCATCAATATAATCAGTTACATGCTATTAGATGAATTGGACATCATCACCCCTACTGGAAAAATCAATAAAATTAAAATATTTAAAGTTTGACATTTTTTCTAGTTTCTGGCTCTTGAACTCCTCCCACCTGAAGTGTAATCACCAGACATTTAATCACTGCTACAATTATAGAACAAATTCTGAAGATGACTGGGATTTACCAGACATGCCTCCAAGGAACCCTGATGTTTACTTGGAAAAGTTTATGTTTCCCAAAAATATTAAAATGACAACAAATAAAAAGGAGGCTGTAGAATGGGAATGAGAAGTCTAAAAATTACGACTACTATGAAGCAATTCTTACACCTCACTTCTATTGGAAGCAGAATCCTCAAAATTGAAAATGGTTTTCAAATATTTCACTGCTATGACACATTTCTGCTTTTTAAAAGAAATAATTTTTTGCACTAAAACCTATCAACATTTTAGATCAAGCTAAGTTTTATTGTGGTGTGGTTTTAGTAAGAGGGCTGTGAAGTTGTTTTCTGGTTCTTTTTTTTAAGTGTTGTCAGTATATTTAAGTAATCCACAATATAAAATCAACATAAAGGGGTTTCCTAAGCATACATCACAGTGAAACATCTTAATATCATTAAAGGTGTCCATAAGCCATAATTCAAACCTTTTATCATCTTTTACAATAAAATAGATTGGCATTTTTTCAAAATTAATTTCAAGTCCAATATGGTACCACAAATTCACTCACCCATCCTACATCAAAGAGTCTCTAAGCTAGAGTTAAATAACTGCAAGCAAAACCCCACATTATTATCGTAAAGTAGTCTGGAAAAATTTTACAGTAATTGCTTTAACAATTTAAGAGACTTTAATCTTACATATTTATGAGTTCATAAGTCTATGTGAACATCTCTTTCTGTACTATATTTAAGCTACTATCAGGGACTTAATGACAATCTTAAAGATAAATATCTCATCTAGTCCCTCACCCCTAGCAGGCAACATAAAACACATAGCTAACAGATTCTGCTCAGAGAGCCAGAATTTACCAATCCTGCTCCATACTGCCCTTCTGTCTAATACACTGATCTCCCAAACTTGAATCCTGCCTGCCTAGAAAACTACCCATGTCAACATCTCTACTTTAATCAACTTCTCCAGAATTTTTTTCCAGCCTGCTTTAACTTAAAAGATACATTCTACTTAAATTCCTCATGACGACCAATGCATTGCTTTTGTTCTAATTCTTGGAATAGCAGCTAAAATTGCTCTATCATTTCAAAAAATAAATACCTGTAATTCAAATAAATGCTATGCAATATATTGAATGGGTATGAGGAAAAGAGAACACAGAGAAAAATATGCAAATTAAAACAAAAATTAAAGTACACTATGCCAGTATTAAAGACAGTCTTGAGAAAACATTATAATAATACTCAGAAAGTATTCATCAGGAACATTTTAATAGTAAAGATATTACAAATTTAACACTAACACACAATTTTAACATCATCACTTTCCAATACTCGGCAGAGCAGTACTTCTCAGGGGAAACAAAGCTTACCATGTACTGAAGTAATCCTATTTCAGGATGAAGCAGAGGCAGCTCAGGGAACCATTTCTGTACCAAGTTATTCAGCTTCTCCTAAATTTTAAAAATATATTTTTATTCCAGGTCAATAGATGTTCAATTGTGACATGATGGACTTCAGAAAAAAATAACATATCTAACAAGATATATAATCTAACGAGATATATAATCTAATGAGATATATAATCTAATGAGATATATAATCTAATAAGATATATAATCACTGATTTTGCCTTCTACTACAAGAAATACCAAATGAAAACCAAGAGTCATCTTGGATCTGAATTACCAACTTACTAACAAAAAGAGAATTTAATTACCAATTTTAAGCTTGGTATACACATACAAGCATAAAATTTTGCCTAAGGTCAAAGTCCACACTCACTTCCAAGCTAAAATGAAAAAATGTGATGATACTCCAATTTGAATCACAAAATTGACATTATTTCTCAAAATATTAAGAACACAGTGACATTTTAAAATTATGGTTATTTCATTTAGGAGGAAAAAAATCATAAAAGTCTTGAAAGAAAAACTAAATATGTAGCTCTACAAAAGGCACTTTGAAGCAAATGTGAAAACTGAGGATTCTTACAAAAGTCACTTATCACATGTTTATTAAGTAAAATTTCTAGACACTTGTCAAGTCACTCACTAGAAGATATCTATTTTACCCAAGACTCATAAGATGAATAATGAAGTGCAATCAAATGAGTTTGCTAAATAAAGCTTAACACTTAAAATGTCTATTATTTTCATAGCATTGTTATTTTTCAAAGCATTTTTTCTTATCCTACTTCTTCCCCACAACATTCCTGAAACATAAAATACAATATTCCTCTCATTTTAAAAAGAAAATATGCTTATTCTCCCAAAGCCACAAAATTAGTGGCAGAATGGAGACTTAAAGACACATCTTTCCCCGAAAACCAGGTAGTTTTACAGTTATATTCTTCGACTAAATTATGCTGCCCCATTAATGTTTTCTTTGCAGCATTATACTAAAATGATGTTCATATACATTTTAACAAAGGAAAAAATCTTTAGGCTTTATGTTAAAAAGAAAACAAGCAGTATGCAAAAGTGTATTTGTGCTATAATCTCAATTCTTGTAAAAATAAGCAGAAAGAAGACTAAAAGGAAGTTAAGTCAAAAGTTAACAGTGATTACTATTGTTACCACTGAGTGGGAAAGTTACAGATGTTTTCCTTCTTTATAATTTTCTGTAATTTCCACATTCAGTACAATGGTTATAAATTATTTTCGTCATCAGAAATCAATTTCTAAATTCACATAAACACTACTATGCCAAAATAACTACTGCCAATACAATCTCTAGTTTAGCGATTATAGTCCACTTCATAAAATGGATATTTGAATGCAATTTCTGGAGTAAAAACTAATTCAAAACTTCAAAGAATCAAATACTTACATATTCCTCCTGCTCATGATAAATTTCCTGAAAAACACTATTGCGCAATTGAGTTATTTCTTGTTTCATTTTCTCAATTTCAGATCCATCATGGTCATCAGACTTTAATCAGAAAGGAAAAAGTGACCTTACAGGCTTATTAAAGTCAAGAGAAAACAAGTCTTCTTAGCAAGAATTAACGCTTCTATAGCAAATCACTCTGTCTGAGTTCTATGCATCCTTCTGTACCTAGCACATAATGGACCCTTATAACACTTGTTGAATTAATATTAGTTTATTCTAACACTGACTTTTCCAAAACCTACAAAAAGGAATTACAAAATAAGACAATTAATTACATAGATTCTTTTCTTGTCTCTTAATTTGCTGTAGATTTTCTCTAAGATAACGATGACCAACTGCCATCATAAAGTAAACTTCAAGAATAGGAACCAAAATACAATTAAACTCCCCGGAATTGTTTTCTACATGAGATTTGGTTAAAAACAAAATTAGTAAATGTGTAGTGTGTCTATTAGAGGAAAGATAATGGAGGACTCACAAAGACTCCATAAAACTCCAATGATAATGAATAAGTCACCATTAAAGGTAAATATGTTTTCAAAGTTAGAAAACATATTTAGAAAACATATTAGAGTTTAGAAAACATATTTCTAAAATTAGAAACATATATTTTCCCAAAGTTAAAAAAATTAAATTAAAAAAGACCCCATTCCCTACAGCCTAGAATAGGATAAAACTGGAAAAATCTTAAACTATTAAATTAGTTCCACTCTATGTTCAGCTAAAGTGCTCCAAAGAGGAAGAGAGCTAATTCAAGTTGGATTAAAACATAATGCAGATTCCTTTTGTAAATAAATCAAATCCTTAAGAGAACACAAAGAATTACCAGTTTATTCAGTTTTAAGCCTAAAGAAGAAGGTTAGTTCAGGTAAGAGCGTCATAATTCTTCCAGTTCTATTATTATATGAAAACAACTTAAAATATTTGCAAGAAATAGTACATCCAGCCATTCAAGAGAGTTGAGAAAGACATCATGATCTTAAAAATACTTTATGACAAAATTCTACATTGGAGGGAGCATCCCATCACCTTGTATGTAGCAGGCTTGTATTGTGATAAACACTATAACAGTCCAAACCAAAAGTTTTTAAAATTATTTTAAAACGTTTACTGTAAAAACCAAAGCACCCATGTAAAATGTTTTTGTTGTTGTTGCTTTTTGTTTTTTAAAGATTTTATTTTTTTTCCTTTTTCTCTCCAAAGCTCCCCAGTACATAGTTGTATATTCTTCGTTGTGGGTCCTTCTAGTTGTGGCATGTGGGACGCTGCCTCAGCGTGGTTTGATGAGCAGTGCCATGTCCGCGCCCAGGATTCGAACCAATGAAACACTGGGCCGCCTGCAGCGGAGCGCGTGAACTTAACCACTCAGCCACGGGGCCAGCCCCCCATGTAAAATGTTTTTAAAGAACATTTAATGACATGGGAAAATGTTCACATTATTAATGTAATAATTGTATTTACATATACAGAGAAGATGTGAATAATGGTTCACCTATATTTAAAGAGTGTATTTATGCATTACTTTTATGAAGCAAAGCCCAAGTAAAATAAGGTACACGTAGAGTTCAGTAAGAACTGTTTCCTTACTTCTTCCAAATTATTCTTCTCAACCAATTTCCATCTCAGTCGAGCTTTTAAGCTTTTCAGTGTCTTTTTAATGAAGAGCAAGTGATCCACACTGGGGCTCTTATTTAAACATTCAATAATCTGCTTCTTAAACTAAGCGAGAGAAAGAGTTATTATATTTTCAAAACATAAACATTTATTGAACACTTATTGACCATTTATTATTTCCTTACTAAGATTCAACTAGTATTTACTGAGTTCAGTGTGAAAAAAGAAATTCCACAATTTTCAACAAGACAATTCTACCAACTGATTTCTTAACTATCCACATTTCTATTTAGAAGACTATCAGTTCTGGCAAACAAAGTAGAAAAGGTAAAAGAAATATTTCAAGCTGAGAGGTAGAGTGAGACACTTTGCTAGAGAGGATGCAAACTAGAATTTTTAGTGAGGATGTAAACTGAAATTACCTTTCCCAAAAGTAGTTTGACAATATGTATCAAGATTTAAGAAAGTTCATTCCTCTTAACTTAGTAATTAATGATTTTTAGGAATTTATCTGAGGAAATACACATACAAAATTATACACAAAAATTATGTATAGTGTTATTTATGGTAAAAACAAAAATGGAAGTAACCTTAACGTCTAACACAGATGAAGGTTAAACAGTGATGTACATCTATACAAGAGATGATTGTTTCATCATTCAAAATGACAGTATAGAAGAATCATTAATCATGTAGGAAAACGTTCATAATACACCATTAAATGAAGAAAACATTTTCAAAATAGCTTAGAAAACTATGCAATGAACATAATATACAAACATACATATAAGTTCAAAAAGAAATACTCAAACTAGCAGTATTTCAGGCTGAGGGGATTAGAATCAATGTTTTTATTTCTTCTTATCTTTCTGTATACAGCAAATTTTCTACTGTAATTTGTACAGGCAGAAAGAAAATGATGATAAAGTTTCTGTTTTAAGGAACATAAGAAAGTCAAAGATTTAAGATAATCAAAAAACTCAATAATTTATATCAACAAAATCGCCATTTCCACTGTAGGGTGAACTTAAATTATATACCAGCTAACCATGGCTACAGTGTTTTTCTAGCAAAAATAAGTAATTTACCTCCACACTGGGTATTAAATTACTTCAGAAAAGTTTAAGCATTAAAAAATTCAAAGCATCAATATATGAGACCAATAAAATAAAGTATAATCCAACCTCAATACTCTCCTCGTACTTGGATTGTACTGTGGCAATGAGCCTTTCCTCTGAATGGATTTTTTGTAGTACTTGACTATACGTATTTAAAATGATCTCCTTGTCTGCATCACCTTGCTCCTAAATGAAATCACACATGTGTAATTATATACAAAGAAGCATCCAAAATAGTTAAAGCCTTCAATAACAATGGATACATTTTAAAATGACTTTAATAAATTTCTATATCCATTCCAAAATATTTCTTAAACACAAATCTTATTCTAGACAGAAGAGAGATTGATGTCAAAGATGTTTGTGTGGGAAATTTTACTCCCATTACACTATCATTCCTAAAGCTCTCTGGAGTACAGCGTTAAATGAAATCAGGGATACTACTATGCTAAACCTAAGAACTAAAGAACAAATAAAACTTCAACATTTTACTTTTAGAAATCATCTATTTACAACTACTTCTAAAATCAAGTCTGACAAAACCATCTAAATAAAGACTATTTGACAATAGGGAAATACAGTAATGCATATATGTATTTTTTTAATGACAATCTTAGTAAAATCACAAAAGGTAAAAAGAAAGAAGTAAAATGAGGAACGTAATCACTAAGACTTTAGTAAGCAGCCTGAAAAACTAGGAAAGAATCCCAGTGAGCAATACTAACATACAAAATACTCTTTCAAGGAGCTATACTAATTTTTAACTTGACACAGCAATAGAGAGCATACATAATAGAGAAAGGGAACTACTAATCAATCTTGTGATTCCACTTCCAGAGCTCTCCAAGCTTTTATTTCAAGTTTCTACAAACTCTAGAGAGGCTTTTCTGATTGGGTACGATAGACTCAAGATTCAAATGATATAGAAAGCTGATACACTCAGATTAAGAGGGCTTTCCTAGAATTAAACATTAGATTTTTTTTTTTAATGCAAAATGTCCTATTAAAATGAAAATACCACTCTGTGGAAGAATAAAACTCTGTATTGTGTTTGGATCAGAACTTGACAATGTTACTATTTCAAATAGGCCTATAAGAGGAAAGTTAAGACCAGTCTTAATACTTCCTAACTAGCAAGAAAAACCATATTGCTTCAAAGGAAGCAAAAATAAAGAATATCAATACTCACAATAAGAGATATCTCTAGTTCTTTGCAGACACTTGACTCAGTCTTCTCTAGGATTTCATCAATATTACCAACTGTGTCTTCAGAAGTCAGTGCTTCTTCCGCAGACAGATCAAAAGCCTCATTTGAAAAATAAAAACATGAAGTTCTCATTTAATTATTTCAATTAGTATTGTGTCCCTATATCTGGAACAGAGCATTAGCCTACGCATTAGACAATGTGGGGGAAATAAGGATGTACAAGAAAGATAAAGCACAACCCTCATAAAACTTATGCACCAGAAAAGAAAAGGTACACACCTAAAGAAAACACAGATTTTTTTTTAAAAGTAATTACTGGTTAAGAGAGGTAAGAGGACAATACGGAGGAAAAGTAAGAGAAAAAAACAGGGACAAGACCAAGATGTTTTTTGGGAATAGTAAAAGAGGCAGTCTGACTAAAAGCAGTAAAGAACCTTGAGTGCCCAGTTGGCAAGTTTATACCTGTTAGGTATTAGGCAGACAATGGCAGCTCTTGAACAAGGAAAGGATATGATTACACCTGGTACTTACTGATGACCTACAAGTATTCAGGAATCTGGAGATTACAAGTTAAACCCAGATGGTCTCCATCACATTAGGAAAACAAGAAGTAAATTACTTTTGAAAACTTATTTTAAAAAACACTCCCTGGTTTATGCTACAGACACCACTGGGCAAGAGCTCTTATTACCTTTAAGGTGCTCTGGAACCATGCTACAAGACGTTGCAGAGAAACCTCTGTTTCACTTCTAACACTGGTGAACTCCTCACTTTTATCACACTTCCATTCAAAAAATTTCTTAAGTATTTCTTCAGAGTTTGTCCCTTCTTTGGCCTGTCCATATACTGCTCCTAAAGAGGCTGACAAATCCTGCAGAGACATAGTTCTGTTTATTAAAGTTTATTAAATTCATATTAGGATTCGAGCACTGTATTAGAATCTGAGAGAGAGAAAAGTAGTATGCTGAACCCATATTCATGAGATTTTATAAGTAAAACATAGAATAATTAGACAGACATGAAAGCATAAAACTACCCAGAAGATGATTTATTTGGACTATACGAGTAAAAGTATATTAAGTTAATTAAGGTTACAAATAGAAAGCTTTATATTCTTAGGTTTTGGTTTTCTTTTTCCTCCCCAAAGCCCCAGTACGTAGTTGTATATTCTAGTTGTAAGTCATTCTAGTTCTATGTGGGATGCTGCCACAGCACGGCTTGATGAGTGGTGCTAGGTCCATCCCCAGGATCTGAACCAGTGAACTCCAGGCTGCCAAAGTGGAGTGTGCAGACTTAACAAATTGGCCACGGGGTCGGCCCCATTTTTGGTTTTTGTGAGGCAGACTGTCCCTCAGCTAACATCTGCGCCCATCTTCCTCAATTTTACATAAGGGATGCCTGCAAAAGCATGGCCTGATAAGCAGTACATAGATCCACGCCCAGGATCCAAACATGTGAACCTCAGACCACCGAAGTGGAGCTCATGAACTTAACCACTATGCCACAAGGCCGGCCCCTAGGTTTTTAATTAAGTAGAAATTAATCTTCTTTCTCTGACTTTAAATAAGCATCACTACTGTTTTGCCCTGACATGGAAGTTTCCAAGACCTACTGCTAAATAAAAATAAACTACATACCAAAATACACAAATAATTCCAATTAAGGAAAAACACTTAACCTATATATGAATTTAAAAGCATTTTTAAAAGGACTGGAAAACACAATAGACGAGAGTCTGCTGGCTCTCTCCAGAAATCAAACCCTAGAAATGTCAAAGAGACAAGAGGAAAACTTAATAGATCTCAGAAATTTTTATCATAAAACTCTGAGAAACCCTTGGAAAGACAGAGGATGGCTGGTGCATCTTACTGAAGGAATACAGTCACTGCAGTTAGAGAAGGTCAGTACCACAGCAGAGAACAACCTTGGGAAAAGAGAACTTTCTTCATATGCCCTTCTCTCCCCCTCATATTGGGCAGGAAAGTAGCAACACAAGTAAGAGGCAATGGGTTTATACAAGTACAGTATAGGAACCTAGATGAGGCAAAGACTCATCTCCAGTACAGAAGAGCTGGATAGCCCCTAACCATGCTCTTTTCTTCCCTTTTCCCCTGAATACATGGTAGCATTTCTACTCAAGGGTGGCAGCCCCTGGAAAAGAGCGCTGGCTGAGGTAGAGGGACTGGGAGATCCTCTAAAGAGTAAGATCATCTAGAAGAGAAGCCAACAGGGAGAAGTTGAGCCCAGAGTGCAGGCCTAGAAGCATGGAGAAGTAACCCCACTCTACTCCCTAAACTCACCTGAAATTTTTGAAGTTATGGCCCAGGCTTTCACCCCTCCCTCAGCCCCTCTACCGCACTATCCCACACCTACACAACAGCACAGACTAAGACAGCTTATATGAAATCTTGACAAGAGGTATTGGGGAGGATGAAACGGGTGAATAATACAAGCATTCTGAAAGAAATATAACAAACCAGGCCACTATAAAAAGGAAGCAAAATCAGTGGCCCAGATAACAGTAAGAACTCAAAATAAGCATAACGAATATTCTCAACAAAAAGAAAATACTGGAAACACAAAGCAAAACCAAGTCGTTATAAAAAATAACTGAAGTTATGAAGTAGGGAAGAAATCATCTTTGAAATAAAGAACACAATGGATTGGCTAAATGGTAGAAGGGATAGAGCTAGAGAACCAACTAGTGAGCTAGATGGTTACGTCAAGGATCCCTCCAAAAAGACAAAGAAAGGGATAAAAAGATAGAAAAACAATGGTTGAACAATTAAAATATGCAGACAATAGAAGTTGTTTAAATACCCATCTAAAAGAAGTCCCAGAATGAGAAAATGGAAATGGGGTGGGAATAGGGGAACTGCATCTTAAGAAATAATTACCAAATATTTCCTAGAGTTAAAGAAAGAAAACCTCCGACTGAATAGACTCAGACTAAATCTAAACTTAAACATGTTTTAGTGCAATTTAGGAACAAAGTAAAGAGAAAATGTTAAAGCTTCCAGGGGGAAAAGAAGTCACAGAAGAACAAAAATCAGACTGATATCAACAACCATGGAAATAAGATGACAGTGGATTATTATTGTCAAAGATCTGAAGGAAAAATGTGCTTTAGACCTAGTATTTTACAGCCAACTAAACAACTGTTTAAAGTGTTTAAATGTAAGCAACTGTTTAAATAAGATAGGCTGAGACATTTAATACTTCACAAAGTCAACCACACAAAGACCTCTTTGAAAGGACTCATAGAGAAAATAGTTCAATACATAGAGAAAACCAAAGGATAACTAACAACTTATGAAATAATAATGAAAAAATAACTCTATAAAGTTTGTTATTTGAGTTATCACATTACAATATCCATAACAATATGTGACTAAAATCCTAGACAACAATTTTGGTTATTTGGTTAGCTGGTTTTTGGGAGGCAGATAGAAACAAAGAAGGAAGAAACCCCAAAGGCAAGTGAGAATGTTCTAAGATTAGGGGTAGAAGGCAGAAAAGGAGGGAAAGGAAACCCCATGACAAACAGAAACATAAAATAATCAAAGAAATAAGTTCTAATAAAACAGTAATTATAAATATATAAATCAATTATGTTACTCATCAAAAGACAGATTTATAGGTTGGATTCTTTTTTAAAATGATCCATTAGTGTTTTGTCTAAGACATTTAAAATAAAGGGAGGGTGAAAAATAAGATATACAAAGCAAATATTAACCAAAAAGACAGGCAGGATAGGAATTTTAAAAGAAAAAATAAAATTTTATCCCAAAACACCTTAAGGGAAAAATAAGGTTACACAGTGGTTAAAAAAACCCACAGTTTAAAATACACAACAATCATGCATACATTAACACCCAACAATACAGCACTGAAATATTCTGAACAATTTAAAGAACTATAATATATAACAAAAATATCTCGAAACTGATAAACTGATCAGACCAAAAACGAACCAAAGATACAGAAGATTAAAGTTTAAAGCTATGTGTCAGGAACTGCACACCAAGAAAACCTAGAATATACTTTCTTTTTGAACTTATAAGGAACAGTCATGAAAAATCAACCACATATTGTAAGTCACAAAAGAAGTCTCAATAAATGCTGAAGAAATCAGAATCATGAACTTTTATCTCTTTGACCTTCATTATTGAAGTGTAAGTTATATTTCTAAAGTACTTAAAGAATATAAATAAAAGTCAAACTATTTCTCAGCAAATAAGGAGAAGTTTAAAGACTATTCTGGTGACCTAGGGGAACAGTAGGAAGGGAGACAAACCAGATACGGCAAAAAGTCTTTTTAGATTAAACTTTAAAAAGAATTTTAAAGACGATTTTGGTTGCAGACACTTAACCTTGATTTACTAATAGTTAATGAGAAGAAATAAACCGTTAGAGGATAAAGTAGAAGTTGTATTGTAGACAGGTAAATTCTTTTTTTTTTTTTTTTTGAGGAAGGTTAGCCCTGAGCTAACATCTGCCGCCAATCGTCCTCTCTTTGCTGAGGAAAACTGGCCCTGAGCTAACATCAATGCCCATCTTCCTCTACTTTATATTTGGGATGCCTACCAAAGCATGGCTTGACAAGCGATGCCATGTCCGCACCCAGGATCCCAAACGGGGAACCCCGGGCCACCGAAATGGAACGTGCACACTTAACCGCTGCGCCAACGAGACGGCCCCTAGACAGGTAAATTCTTACTTCACCACTGCCACTGCATGCAAGGCTTGCTTCATCATTCTCTAAGAACTTGTACTATTTATGCAATTCCATTTAAGAAAATGTTTCAAACCAGGACTCCCAATGGTTCCTGAACCATAGACAGCACCATCAAAACTACATCTTCAGAAAAAGTCAGTGCCCAGACGTCTGAATATCCTTTTCTCCAGCTCTCTAGCAAGCTCATTCCCTGCAGTCCAAAACAAGGATCCCAGCCAGCTAACAGAGCTACTATTCAACTTAGTACTAGAGATACTGACTAAAGCAGTAAAAATTCAAAGGTACATCAAAGGTAGAAAGAGCAGAAGAGGGTTATTGTTTTCAAATGACAGGATCACAGAGAAAGCTCAAAGAGTATCAAAAGACAAATGAGAACTAAAAGAGAGTTCAACAGAGTTGCCAGACAGACATCAACACATAAAAATCAATAGTTTTCCTCTACACCATCAAAAGTAACTAGGAAATGGAAAATATTCACAAAAGCAACCGAAAGCATAAATATCTTAGAATTAAAGGAAGAAAATGCATAAGGCCTTTTAAAGAAAAATTTTAAACATCATCAATGGACATTAAAAAAAAAAACTGAGTAAGTGGAGAGAAATACTATGTTAATGGGTGGAATGACAACACTGTCATGCTCATTATTCCAAATTAAAGTCATTGTTGAGATGGCAGGATAGGACTGAAGACATGGTTCTACAACACCATACAGCTATTGTACTCTAGCCCCTGATCAGGAATTTTAAAAGCCCCATAACTCAAGGATCAGAGTCTCCCTAACTCTGACATGTGGCCCTACTAGATTTTCTACTAGAATGCAATGGGCAACAGGGACTCACAAGCCTGCTACTGCTCCTGTCTCCATGAATTTTCCCAATGAATGCTGCTCTAGCAAGCCTGATGTGTCTGATCATGTGTCCGATCTTGTTTACAGGATAAATACATATATATACATAAACGTATTAAACAGATTAATATAAAATTTTAATTCCAAATTCTTCAAAGAGAAGAAAAACTTTTACAGCCTTCAGAACTATCTGAAGTCTTAAGGTAAATGCTAATTTCACCTCTCAAATGATAAACATATTTTCATGGATATTTAATATCTTTTTAATTTCCAACCTGCAATGTTTTCAAGCGTTTATTAAGAGGTAACTCATCTACTTCCAGAATAAAAACTTCTATTGCCATGCACAGCTTCTGTTGCACTTCATTTCTTTTGGCAATCAAAATATTCCCTTCATTCTGGAGGAAATAAAAAATCAATAACCATCATTAATACATCAGGTGTTTTAACACATTGACCAATACGAAAAAGACTGATCTCTTAAATTAGTAAAATCTAACATTACATTCTCCAAACATAGTAGCATTTAGGAGAAACATCTCTCTCCTTAGATTACCAAACTGACGAAGAGCTTTCTTTCCCTTCATTAGAAATAAGACGTTTAATTTTTATTTTTTTCCCATTATTTCTGCAACAATAAAATTTGTGCTTAAGAAAATTATACAAGTTCCTATTGTTAATTACATATTGCCTCCCTCCTACTCCCATCCCACTCTCAATTCCTTCATCTACTGATCTTTCAATATTCAGTTAAACTCCACCAGGATAACACCATCAACTCACCCAAGAGGCTATGTTTGGAAATTTAGTAGTCCCCCCCAACTGTGGTTTCGCTTTCTGCAGTTTCAGTTACCAGGGATCAACCACAGTCTGGAAGCAAATGATCCTCTTTCTTACTTATTGTCAGAAGGTCAACAGTAGCCTAACACTACGTCACAATGCTTAGATCACTCATCTCAAGTCATCTCATCACATAGGCATTTTATCATCTCAAGAAAGGTGAGTATAGTACAATAAGATATTTTGAGAGAGAGACTACATTCACGTAACTTTTATTACAGTATATTGTTATAAGTGTTCTATCTTACTATTAGTTATTGCTGTTAAATCTCTCACTATGCCTAATTTATAAATTAAATTTTATCATACGTACACATGTATAGGAAAAAACACAGTATATATAGGGTTCAGTACCATCCGTGGTTTCAGGCATCCACTGGAGATCTTGGAACGTAACCCCCACGGATAACGGGGAACTACTGTAGGTATGTGAGAGATATCCAAAAATCTTATGCATTATCTCTATTATAGTACTTACCAAACTATATTGAAACTATCTATTTATATATCTGTCCTATACCCAAGAAAAATAGAGACACAGGATCATCTCTTAAACAAATTTGTATCTCCGCTACCTATAATAGTGCTTGGCACATACACTTAGCAGATTCAATTTTAGAATATTCTTTTTTTGAGTAAACTCAACCAGCCCATTTTATAACTATAAAGACAAAAGAAAAGAATCTCTTTCACCAAAAATATACATAGCAACCAACTAAGGAACTGTGTAAAATACATAAACGAAAATAACCATAACAAGACCTGAATTAAGTACAATAAGGGAAGTAAAATGGCCCCTTTACTTGAGTGACAGTTATGACTGAATTTATCCAATAACCTACTCTTCAGTCTGTCAAATGAACGTTAGGGCAACGAAGCCTAAATATAAGTTCTGACACATCAGCAGTAGTAGAAACAAACATTTGCTTTAAAAAAAATCACACTTGTTCTACTAGAATACCAAGTCCTAGAGCTACATTAAGTCCTCTCCCTCTCTGTCCTGAATCACTTTCCTATGCTCAAACCACAAAAACAAAACAAAAATCAAAAAGCAGTTCTTTTTTATCTTATTACATGAAAAATATATTACGATGTATTTTAATGCTGGCAGTACAGTTTAAGTGGAAATAGAATACACTTTGCAGTCAGACCTGGGTTCAAATTCCATATTAACATTTTGACCTATGTAATCTTGAGCATTTTCCTTAAACTCTGTGGGCCTGTTTCCTCATTTATAAAATGGAAGCAAAAATGCCCATTTTCAAAATTAGTGTAAAAAAGTTTAAGTACCTATAACATTGCCTGTGTTTCAAAGAGATTCAAAAATTATTACTCCTGTTACTTTCTTTCTTCTATAATCAGAAGTGATCAGTTAGGGTCTAATATGTAAAATAACACAAATCTAAACCCTCCCCAAATTAAACATTCCTGGCATTTCCAAAGGCCAAGTTATCCTGTTCATTTTTCTCATTCAGAGCCAGTTTAGCCGTCAACTGGCCAACCTAGGTATGAATAGGCAATAAGACTTTCAGACAATCCCCAGAGGCAGAAACCACCAATACATAAGATGAAATAACTCCAAACACAAATATAGAGCTCACAGGTACTATGGAAAGCTATGAGTGTTGTGAAATCTATATATGAAAACAAGGACTTCTGTTAAGTTCAATATAATAAACTAAAGAAAACTGCAAGAGGAAATAAATATGCTTGTACCTATGCTAATAAATAATTCATATGAAATATTCCATTCTTCATACACCTCCCCTACTCACAAATAACTACCTCTCAACAATGAGTGGCTTAGATAGATAGCATTTAATAGTAAGACAGAGTTCAATAGTGCAGCATAAAACACACCACTCAGACTAGAAGACAAGATCCACACGAACAGGTGTGCGAGCCACCCGGGCTTACAAGAGTCCCCACTAAGTATTTGTAGTTTATAGTTCCTCCCAGTCCAGATACAATTTACCAATTAATGTTTTATTTACCTAAACAATGTTGCCTAATAACATGGCTGAAATGTCATTTTGACAAATTCTCATATAAAATGGGATAAGATTTATCCACAATCAGTATTTACCTATCCTACCTTTCTTACAACACAATAAAAGAAACCAAATTATCAATATGAAGATACTGTAAAAGTTAAAGATTTCATGCAAAGTATTCTTACAATATCTGGAGTCCCTCTGCTTTCTTGAAAGATAGTATCTCCTTTTGTTCAATAGATAAAAACCATAACAGATAAAAATCCTTGACCCACCACATTTTGACAAGTTTGAATCTTCTCCTGAGCCAGCTTGTATTCTGCCCAAATTATCTCTAATTCATTCAAAGAAGTTGGAGTAGTAAAGCACTCTTCATCCAACATCTGTATAGCATCTGAAAGGTCATTTCCAAAACGAACATTGATGTTGACACGTCTATTTAAAAACAATAGCAAAAAGGAAAAGACCAAGAAATACGTAAGTTGGTGTGCGAATAAGTTACACTTAAATAGTAATGGGCTAAAGTTACTATTTACAACATGTGCTACGAAGAGGTTCTTTTTAAAACTTTACATAAAATCATAAATAACTGATACAAACTTTAATTAAAAAATGTATCTGAGAAAAAATTAAGTATTTTTTTTAAAACTTTATATAAAAGGACAACATAAAAGTCTGCAGAAGGGCCAGCCTGGTGGCACAAAGATTAACTGCACACATTTCGCTTTGGCAGCCCGGGGTTCACTGGTTCAGATTCTGGCTGCAGACATGGCACCACTTGGCAAGTCACGCTGTGGTAGGTGTCCCACATGTAAAGCAGAGGAAGATGGGCATGAGTATTAGCTCAAGGCCAGTCTTCCTTAGCAAAAAGAGGAGGACTGGCAGCAGGTATTAGCCCAGGGCTAATCTTCATAAAAAGAAAAGACACAAAAAAAGTCTGCAGAATTTAAAATGATGTCAAACGGAACTTCAATTCTAGTCAACAATTAGATTTGCAAACACTCCTTTTAAAATTTTAGACTTAGCCAATCTTGTTTACCAAGATTATAGGCACACAGGGGCCAGCACTGTGGTGCAGCAGTTAAGTTTACAGGTTCTACTTTGGCAGCCTAGGGTTCACCGGTTCGGATCATGGGTGTGGACCTATGTAACGCTTCTCAAGCCATGCTGTGGCAGGTGTCCCATATATAAAGTAGAGGAAGGTGGGCACAGATGTTATCTCAGGGCCAGTCTTCCTCAGCAAAAAAGAGGACTGGCAGCAGATGTTAGCTCAGGGCTAATCTTCCTCAAAAAAACAAAATAAAAAAATAAAAAATAGAGGACCGGCCCCATGGCCGAGTGGTTAAATTCGTGTGCCTCTGCTTCAGTGGACCAGGGTTTCACCAGTTTGGATCCTGGGCACGGACATGGCACCACTCATCAAGCCATGCTGAGGCAGCATCCCACATGCCACAACTAGAAGGACTCACAACTAAAAATACACAACTATGTACTGGGGGGCTTTGCGGAGAAAAAGAAAAAATAAAATCTTTAAAAAAATAAAAATAAAAAAGACTATAGGTACATAGTCCTTGCACCCTAACAGTAGACTAGCATTTGCAGAGTTTAAAAAATAAATCCAAAAATTATAAATGCAAAGAGAGAAGCAGGCCAACTAGCAAAATCAACAAGGTCCATCCATATTCATTTTTCCAGCTTCCAACTAGACTGCCACATTCTAAAAGCACATTATTGCCTCAAATGTGGATTAAAATATATTGGATTGTTTGGTCCAAAGTCTGTCTCACAGCTTTGTCAGTGTAGGCACTTGATTTTCAGCAGTGCATCAAAAGCTGATTAGACTCAAGGATGCTGCCAAGTCGGTGGTGTAGGCGGACTCAGAACTCACCTCCTCCCATGGACACAACAAATTTACAATTACTCTTGGAACAATGGGCCCTCGGAGAGAACTGAAAACTTGATAAAAAGAACCCCCACAACAAGGGACAGTGCTGACTGAGGTGGAAGAGACAGAAATTCCTCCAGAACCTCCACAGAGAGAAAAAAGCCACCTTCCATGCGCAGGGCTTCACAGCCAACCAGGGGTAATCTTAAGGTACAAAGCCTTCCCTGGAGGAGAGGGGGGATCTGAGCGAGGGAGCATTACCACACTAAGTGGCATTTAGACTCAGAACAACTGAGACAAGTGTCATAATGTCTGGCTTTGCTGGCTATTAACTACAACAGGGAATACCCCCAGAGAAGCTATCAGACATAAGGAGAAAAAAGCCTGCTCTTAAAGGGCCCACACACAAATTCACCCATTTTGGAAAGCAACCTAAAATCACCAGAAAGAAAGATGCACAGTCCTTTGGTGAAAAGAGACTCACCCTGATAGGTTCTGGGTGCATCTGCGTGAGAGGTGAGACCTTCCCAGGCTGGGAGCACCTCCCCAGGGACTGAAACATTGGCAGCAGCCATTATGTGACCTAGTACAGGCGTGTTGACACAGACGCTGGCAGACGCCATTGAAGTTCTTTCCCTGGACTGTTAGTGTAGGGGTCTGCCCCACCTACTAGAGCACAGATTTAATCCAGCTCAGTCAGGGCAGGAAGCCCACCCTAGGGATTGGCCCCACCCAACAGCAAGCCCTCAAGCCACTTGTGGGCCCGCACAGGGGGGGTGCCTAGGAACTCTGCAGGGTGGCAAGTGGGTCTGCCTCTGCAGGGCGGGACATGTGCAAGGGATGGGGCTGCATGGATCCAGTGTATGGAGCAGGGCAACTAGGTCCACTTCAGTGGGTCTGGGCATGTACCCAGAACAGGACTGTGTTGACAGGGTGTGTGGCCCTGCAGGGTGCGGCTTGTCATCTGCAGCAGACTTGTGCTTCTCAAACAGCCAAGTAGGGGATCGGCCCTACCTCCCAAAGCCTAAAACGACTGAGTGCTCCCATGCCTGGGGCCAGCCCCACTCAGCTACACTCCTGAGAGAGTTGACAACAGCATCACAGGCCGGAGGGCTACAGCAATTGTAAGGTCCTAAGCCTACTAATTTAACAGAAAAACTGCAACAGGAATGTGCTATTAGACCTTGCAGCCAACTGTGCTGGGGCTGCCCATGCTCAGTAAACTGACTGAAGGGACCACAGCAGCCACACACAGCTGAGCATTATAATCAGCTGGCCAAGGGGATAGCCTAGCTTCCCTGGTCACCTGTAGCAAGAGCAACCATGCCCCAACAGAAGGACAGACACAGCCCACACAAGGGACACTCTTGGAACAGTTGGAACTGGTGACAAGAGAGAAGCACACTGTTGGGCCTCATAAGGGATCTCTTACATAAGGCCACCTCTCCAAGGCTGGGAGACATAACTGACCCACCTAATACATAGATATAAGCACAGAGAAAGACACAAAATGAGGAGACAAAGGAAAGCGTTCTAAGTAAGGGAACAGGACAAAATCCCAGAAAAAAAACTAAATGAAATAGAGATAAACAATCTACCTGACAAAGAGTACAAACTAGGAATCATAAGGATGCTTACTTATCTTTGGAGAAGAATGCATGAACTCAGTGAGAACTCAACAAAGAACTGGAAAATATAAAAAAGAATCAATCAGAAATGAACAATACAATACTGGAAATGAAAAGTTCACTAGAAGGACTCAATGGCAAAGTACACGATACAGAAGAACAGATAAGTGAGCTGGACAAAAGACTAGAGGAAATCACCCAAGCTGAACAGATAAAACAAAAAAGAATTTAAAAGAACAAGAAGAGTCTAAGGGACCTCTAGGACAATATCAAGCACACTCACATCCGTATCATAGGTGTCTCAGAAGAAGAAGAGGGAGACAAAGGGGCAGACAGCCTATTTGAAAAAATAATAGCATAAAACTTTCCTAACATAGGAAGAAGACAGACATCCAGGTACAGGAAACACAGAGAGTACTAAGTACGATGAACCCAAAGAGCCCCACATCAGGACACATTATAATTAAAACGTCAAGAATTAAAGATAAAGACAGAATCCTAAAAGCTGCAAGAGAAAGGCAACAAGTTACACACAAAAGAAACCCCATAAGCCTATTAGCTGACTTCTCAGCAGAACCTTACAGCTTAGAAAGGAGTAGCACAATATGTTTGAAGTGCTGAAAGGAAAAAACCTACAGCCAAGAATTTGCTACATGGTAATGTTATCATTCAAAATGGAAGGAGAGAGAAAGATCTTGCCAGATAAGCAAAAACTAAAGGAGTTTATCACCAAGAAATCAGCCTTCCAAGAAATGCTAAAGGGACTTATTTAAGTGGAAAAGAGAAGACCACAAATAGGAATAAGAAAATTATCCGAAAAAAAAACCAGTAAAATCATTGATAAAGGCAAATATACAGTAGAAGTAGCAGATCAACCACCTATGAAGGTCAAAAGACAAAAGTACTAATATTATGTATTTCCATGATAATGGATACACATACCAAAAAAAGTTAGATATGATATCAAAAACATAAAATGTGGGAGGAAGGGAGTAAAAGAGTAGAGCTTTTAGCAAGAGGTCAAACTAAAGAGACCATCAACTTAATACAGATTGCTATATATGTAGGTTATTATATATGAACCTCATGGTAATCACAAACCAGAAACCTATAACAAATACACAAAAAATTAAGAGAGAGAAACCCAAACATAATACTAAAAAGGCCATCAAACCACAAGAGGATAGAGCAAGAGAAGAAAGGAACAGAGAAGAACTACTAAAACACCCAGAAAAAAAGTAACAAAATGGCAATAAGTACATTCTTATCAATAGCCACTTTAAATATCAATGGACTAAATGCTGCAATCAAAAGTCATAGGTGGCCAATTGGATTAAAAAACAAGACCCATATATATATATATGCTGCATACAAGAAACACACTTCACACCTAAAGATACTCAGAAACTGAAAGTGAAGGGATGGAAAAAGATACTCCTTACAAATGGCAATGAAAAGAAAGCTGGGGTAGCAATACCTATAACAGACAAAAAAGACTTTCAAACAAAAACTGTAACAAGAGACAAAGAAGGGCACTACATAATGATAAAGGAACAACCCAACAAGAGGATATAACAATTGTAAATATCTATACAGTCAACATAGGAGTATCTAAATATATAAAGCAATTTTTAACAGACATAAAGGGAGAAATACCAACACAATAACAGTAGGGGATTTTAACACTCGACTTACACCAATGGACACATCATCCAAACAGAAGATCAATAAGGAAACACTGGCCTTAATGACACATTAGACCAGAGGGACTCAGTAGATATATACAGAACATTCCATCCAAAAACCACAGAATACACAGTCTTTTCAAATGCACATGGAACATTCTCCAGGAGAGATCACATATTAGGCCACAAAACAAGTCTAAATAAATTTAAGAAAATTAAAATAATGGCAAGCATCTTTCCTGACCACAACAGTATAAAACTAGAAATCAACTGCAGGAAGAACATTGGAAAAGCCACAAATATGTGGAGATTAAACAAAACGTTACTGAACAACAACTGGGGGTCAATGAAGAAATCAAAGAAGAAATCAAAAAATACGGGGAGATAAATGAAAATGTGACATGCCAAAATTTATGGGATACAGCAAAAGCATTCTGAGACATAACTTTCTAGCAATACAGGCCTACCTCAACAAACAAAAATTTCAAAATAAAAAATCTAACAGTGCACTTAAAGGAAGTGGAAAAAGAAGAACAAACCCCAAAATCAGTAGAAGGAAGGAAATGATAAAAATCAGAGCAGAAATAAGTGAAATAGAGACTAGAAAAACAATCGAAAAAAATCAATGACACTAAAAGCTGGTTCTTTGAAAAGATAAACAAAATTGACAAACCCTTAGCTAGACTCACAAAGAAAAAAGAGAGAAGGCTCAAATAAAAATCGGAAATCAAAAGGAGAAGTTACAACAGACACCTTAGAAATACTAAAGGTTATAAGAGACTACTACAAAAAGCTATACAGCAACAAATTGGATAATGTAGAAGAAATGGTAAATTCTTAGAATCATACAACCTTCCAAAACTGAACCAAGAAAAAATAAGAGTATTTGAATAGACCAACCACTGGTAAGGAGATTAAAACAGTAATCAAAAACTTCCCCAAAAATAAAAGTCCAGGAACAGACGGCTTCCCTGATGAATTCTACCAACTTTCAAAGAAGACTTAACACCTACCCTTCTCAAACTCTTTAAAAAATTGAAGAGGAGAGGAACCTTCCTAACTCATTCTATAAACCCAACATCACTCTGATACCAAAACCAAACAAGGACGGCACAAGAAAAAGAAAATTACAGGCCAATATCATTGATGAACATTGATGCAAAAATACTCAACAAAATACTAGCAAATCAAATACAACAATACATTAAAAAGATCATACACCATGATCCAGGGAGATTTATTCCAGGGATGCAGGGATGGTTCAACATCCACAAATCAATCAACGTGATACACCATGTAAACAAAACAAAGAATAAAAATCTCATCATCATCTCAATGGATGTAGAGAAAGCATTTGACAAGATTCAACATCCATTTATGATAAACTCCAAATAAATGAGTATAGAAGGAAAGTATGTCAACATAATAAAAGCCATATAAGACAAACCTACAGCTAATATCATTCTCAATGGAGAAAAACTGAAAGCTATCCCTCCAAGAAGAGGAATCAGACTTGGATGCCCACTTTCACCACTCTTATTTAACACAGTATTGGAAATCTTAGCCAGAGCAATCAGGCAAGAAAAAGAAAGAAAAGGGATCCAAATTGTTGAGAAAGAAGTGAAACTGTCACTATTTACAGAGGACATGATTTTATATTTGAAAACCCTAAAGAATCCACTAAAAAATTTCTAGAAATAATAAATGCAACAGTAAAGTTGCTGGATACAAAATCAACAGACAAAAATCAGTTGTGTTTCTATACACTAACAACGAAGTAGCAGACAGAGAAATTAAGAATACAATCCCATTTAAAACTGCAACAAAAAGAATAAAATACCTAGGAATAAACTTAACCAAAGAGGTGAAAGACCTGTACACTGAAAACTATAAAACACTGTTGAATGTAACTGAAGACGACACAAGAAATGGAAAGACATTCCATGGTCTTGGAATGGAAGAATCAACATAGTTAAAACCCCCATACTTCCTAAAGCAATCTATAGATTCAAGGCAATCCTTATCAAAGTTTCAACAATACTTTTCACAGAAATAGAACAAAGAATTCTAAAATTTATATGGAACAACAAAAGACCCCCAAAGAACCAAAGGAACCCTGAGAAAAAAAGAACAAAGTTCGAAGTATCACAATCTTTGACTTCAAAACATACTACAAAGTAATAGTAACTAAAATAGCATGGTAGTGGCACCAAAACAGACACACAGATCAACAGAAGTGGAATCAAGAGCTCAGAAACAAATGCACACATCTACAGACAGCTAATTTTCGACAAGGGAGCCAAGAACATACAATGGAGAAAGTAAAGTCTCTTCAACAAATGGTGTTGGGAAAACTGGACAGCCACATGCAAAAGAATGAAAGTAGACCATCATCTTACACCATATACAAAAACTAACTCAAGTGGATTAAAGACTTGAATCTAAGACCTGAAACCATGAAACTTCTAGAAGAAAACATAGGCAGTATGCTCTTGGACATCAGTCTTAGCAGCATATTTTCAAGGACTATGTCTGACTGGGCAAGGGAAACAAGAGAAAACATAAATAATGGGACTACATCAAACTAAAAAGCTTCTACACAGCAAAGGAAACCATCAACAAAATGAAAAGACAACCTAACAATTGGGAGAATATATTTGCAAACCATATATCTGATAAGGGGTTAATATCCAAAATATATAAAGAACTCATACACCTTAGCAACAAAAAAACTAACAAACCAATTAAAAAATGGACAAAAGATCTGAACAGACATTTATCCAAAGAAGATATACAGATGGCCAACAGGCACATGAAAAGATGTTCAACATCACTAATTATCAGGGAAATGCAAATCAAAACTATAATGAGATATAACCTCATGCCTGTCCAAATGGCTATTATTAACAAGACAGGAAATAACAAGTGCTAGAGAGGATGTGGAGAAGGGAACTGTCATTCACTGCTGGTGGGAGTGCAAACTGGTGCAGCCACTATGGAAAACAGTATGGAGAGTCCTCAAAAAATTAAGAATAGAACTACCATGAGATCTAGCTATTATACTGCTGAGTATTTATCCAAAGAACACAAAAATATGAATGCATAAAGACGTATGCACCCCTATGTTCATTGCATTATTCACAATACACCAGACCCCAAAGCAACCTAGGTGCCCATCAAGGGATGGATGGATCAACATGATGTGGTATATATACACAATGAGATACTCCTCAGCCATAAAAAAGGATGAAATTTGGACATTTGTGACAACACGGATGGACCTTGAGGGTATCATGGTAAGCAAAAGAAGTCAGAGGGAGAAAGTCAAATACCATACCATCTCACTCATAAACAGAAGATAAAAACAACAAACAAACACAGAGAGACAGAGATTGGACTGGTGGTTATCCGAAAGGAAGCAGGGAGGGAGTAGAGTGAAAGGGGTGAATAGGCATATGTGTATGGTGATGGATTATAATTAGTCTTTGGGTGGTGAACATGATGTAATCTACACAGAAATCGAAACATGATATATATCCAAAATTTATATAATCTTATAAACCAATGTTACCACAATAAAAAAAAAATTTTAGGTTTACAGATTTTTTCTAAAAGAGCAGAAAATTCCCATATATTCTCACCCTTTCAATACTTCAAAAAAATTTTTCAGACACTTTGCACATTATATTGTTAAGACTATATTGCACCTAGGTTGATAGAACGCAGAGACTGCAAATTTCGTGCAATGCTTTGTCAGGAACATATTTACATCCATAGGGTTTACAGCCAAACACATTCAGTCGTTCATTTCACATCTCAGTTGATAATACGATTCAATGACAACGAATGAAAAGAGGCATTATTTATTCACATTTTCAAATGGGTTTTACACGGCTATTAGCCAGGCACAAAAATAACTGAAAAGAAAAAAACGTACTTCTTATAGCCCAGGTGGGTTCAAATAAGTACTAAGAAGTTATATGAAGTCATATGAAGAAGATATTGAAAGGTAAAAGTGTCTCATATTTATGCTACTTTGGTTAAAGTTTTTTGTCTTCACATGTAAACTTTCAGCCCATCTAAAGAGAATAAAGAATTCATCCTCACAAACCAAAAAAAACAAGAAAAACAAAAGTTGATTAGGCTCTAGAGGGACCAAATTAGTCACACTATTTAGATTTATAAACCAGAAGCCAATTGATGGATTTATACTGAAGAATACAAATTGCCACTGGACAAAAGATCAACATGCAGTATTAATTCAGGTCAATAATATCTTAGCATTTCAAAGTACATGAAAAAATGAATTACTGGTTTAAGTTCTATGTGTTGCATGAAAAAGGAACCAGATTGTTTTGAGAACTATTTTTTCCACATTTCAGAAAAAGATGACAAATTATCCCTAACCAACAATAAAGTAACACTCTATTAAAATATCTACATAATTCATATACCGAGCCTGAGAAACACTGAATAAACTTTGCACAAGAGTTGCTAACCAATTTCTTCTCCTTTGTTCTGACTCCATGAAGACCACTTTTCTTCTGACTCTATGAGGACCACTTTTTGCTTCCTTTAGATAGAGTATAAGTAAGTAATTTAAATTAACTAAAATCTTTAGCTTTGGTATAGGCCTGAAAATAACCCCAAGAAAACAACGGGACATAGTAGTTTCCCATCAAACTACTATTTAGAAGTTGTGTTGATTTTTTAATTTCATTCTCATAGATGACTTTACAACACTGTAATTCCATATAGTGACAACAGAACACTGACAAAAACACTGCAAAATTCATCTCACGAGCACTTTAAGCTTCTCTCTTTAAAGTCATAAAAATACAAAGATTAAGTTTCAAACCAAAAACGGTGGGCATATAATTTAAACAAAGCACAAACTAATTAGCAATTATTTTAAATTATCCATCTCAAAAAAATACTTTTACTTACCTAATTTCTTTCAATATTTCAACCTTAGCTGCCAGATTTTTCATTCTGGTACCTACACAAGTCTTCAGAGTGCTTTCTAAATGTTTAGTCAAATCCATGGTAGTTGCTTTCTCTTGCTGAAACAAAGAACAATCACATCCTAGTCAAGACTCAAATAGGAAAGTCTATTCCTACTGTTATTTAAGTGATTTTTAGTCACAATTAAAACTTTAAAGGTTAAAAACTGTTAGGCCACAGGATAACAACCACTGGTTTCCCTAGGGGTTGAGATGTCGAAAAGATAATCTATTCCACTCTTCTGCCTTTACACAGGTTACAAACTCTTATATTTCATCCTAATAAGAAGCCAAGTAGAAACAAAATTTCACATGTGTCTTAACACTTAGATTTTTAAAGGATAAATAAAAGATCCCCAGGGAAACCAAATGATTATCAATGATGATTTGTTTTCTGATGACTTCTTATGTCATTCTGCATTACACAAGAACCCAAAACATCATTTTGTTGACCCAAGGCAGATTAAACTCCCTGATTTTAAGTGATATCTCAAATATGTCTACTATGATTACCCAAAATAATGCATGCAGCAGTAAGATGGATAAATATCTGACAATTTTATTCCAATTATACTAAAACCCAGATACTACAGAGTTAAACTTGGAACTTTTAGTCAATATTTAAACAACATGTTCTCCAGTCCTCATATTCTCTCCAATCCCTCAGTTAAGTAAAGAGAGAGAACCAGTGTATACTGGATGCTTATTAATACTAGGCTACACTCAAGTATGCTCATGCCCTTCTGCTCCCATTTGTTGAGCAGGATGACCACGAAAAATCAGTTTTCTTTGTTCTTAAGTTAGTTTATATCAACTATAATAGTGATGATAATTACTCCAAAAATTACATAAATCTAAGAAATAGGAGAAAACAAAAAGTTGTTGAATCTTTGAAAATGTGTTTAATGCTTTTTCAAAGACTCCATTAAAGCAAATCTTTCATACAAATTGCTAATGAATTCCATGTGGATGAGGAAAAGAATCATTTAAATCTGAAAGAAACACCAACTTAGATTGTTTCTCAAATGTCTTGAACTTATTAATTCACTTGTTAAAAAAAAGGAAATCAGACGACAAATAATGAGCATGGTTTTTAAGACAAAGAATAAGACAAACAGAAAAGACAGCAAATTTAAACCCAAACCACATCAATAATTACATTAAATGAAAATTAGCTAAACAGTGCAATTAAAAGATATAAGATTATCAATCTGGATGAAAAAGCTTAGACTCTACTATATGCTGGTTATAGGAAACACTTGGTAGATATAGAGAGATTAAAAATTGAAGAATGGAAAAGATATACAATGTAAACATGGCCATATTAATATCAGGCAATGTGGACTCCAGTATAGGGAGCACTCCCAGTGATATATAGGGATATTTATATATTTCATATATATATATTTCATAAAGATAAATGAGTCAATTCATCAAGAAGACATAACAATTCTAAATGTGTCTACACCTAGTAAGAAAGCTTCAGAACCACAAAGTAAAATCTGACAGAATAAAACGAAGAAACAAGGGGTTAGCCTGGTAGTGTAATGGTTGAGTTTATACACTCTGCTTTGGCAGCCTGGGGTTCATGGGTTCAGATGCCAGGTGTGGACCTACACACCACTCATCAAGCCATGCTGTGGCGGCGTCCCATATACAGAATAGAGGAGGGTTGGCAGAGATGTTAGCTTAGGGCCAATCTTCCTCACCAAAACCAAGAAGAAACAGACAAAACCACAACAATATCTGGAGATTTCAACACTCCTCTCTCAGTAACTGACAGAGCAAGTAAACAAAAAATCAGTCAGATAAAAAAGACTTGAACAACACAATCAACCAATTCTACCTAACATTTATAAAACATTCCACCCAACATCTACAGAATATACAATTTTTAAAAGCACATGGAACATTTCCAAAGACACACCATAAGCTGGGTAATAAAAGAAATCTCAATAAATTTAAAAGGACTGAAACCACAGAGTATGCTCTCTGACAGCAAGAAAATAAAAAATCCAGAACAAAAATATACTGGGTGAAAATCTCCAAATATGTGGAAATAAAGCAAGACACTTCTAAATAGCTCATGATTCAAAAAAAAATCACAGGGGAATTTTTAAAATATGTTTAATTAAATAATAAAAACACAACATATCAAAATTGGTGGGTTATAAATAAACCAATGCTTAAATGCTATAAAAGAACAAGGGATTAAAAACAACGATATCAATTTCCATCTAAAAAAGCTAGAAGAGCAAATTAAACAAAGTAGAAGGAAGAAAATCATAAAGTAAGGAAATCAAGTAGAAAAGATACAATAAAGAAAAAATCAACAAAGGCAAAAATTAGTTCTTCGAAAACATTAAGGACTTCCAGTTTCTGGGCCAGCAAGTAAGAAGTTCAGAAGGTGCCACTCCATCCTAACAACAAGCAAAAAGCTGAACTAACTGAAAAATCAACAACTTTTCTTAGATCACTAAGACAGGTGAGGTCACAGGACAACTGGGAGAGACAGAAAGGCAAATACAACTTACTGGAGCAGTAATCTCTGAGGGAACCAGTCTAGAGTAGGGAAACCTCAACTGTAATTGATGAATTGCTGGAGGCTCACTAGGAACAACTCTGAGAGTTAAAACTCCAGGGACCCAGTCAACAGAATGGCCCACCTTACTGTGAATTTTACCTCCTGGATCTCTACCAGGTTCTCAAAGTAAATATCAAAGAAAAATCTCCTCAAGCTTTCAGCAGCAGGAGGGGAAAAGGAACCATTTTGAAATATGCCATAGCATTCTATTCTTCTTAACAAGATCTGCCCTCAGGAGAAACAACGTACATAAAGCCTAACCTGCTGGGGTTTTACCAGAGCCTAACTAGCCCAGGGGGAGGATAATACCCAACTCCAGCCCACTCTAGCCATCCTGTCCTACTTAAGAGGGGCTGTGGGGGGCACTGAGAAGCATGTGTGAAGTTCATAGTCTAAAGGCACATGCTCACTAAAAGACTCAGTGTTTTAGGACTATAAAATGTTTCTCCTCACCCTATACCTTATCACCATATTACTAAAGGCATATTTAAAGTAGTTCCTTTTATCCAGTACATCATGCCTTGCTATCAAGAAAAAATTACGAGACATACTAAAAGACAAAAAGTACAGTTGGAAGAGACAAAGTAAGTATCAGAATCAGACTCAGATATGGCAGGGATGCTGGAATTATCAAACTAGGAATTTAAAACATGATATGATTAATATGCAAAGGACTCTAATAGATAAAGTAGACAGCATGCAAGAACAGATAGGCAATGTAAGCAGAAAGATGGTTATTCTTAGAAAGAAACAAAAAGAAATGCTAGAGATCAAAAACACTACGGCAGAAATAAAACAATGCTTTTGATGGGCTTAGTAGACTGCACATGGTGAGGAAAGAATCTCTATAAGCCAAGATATATGAGTTTGTACATCTAAAAAAAGACTTACACAAGAATATTCACAATGGCTTTATTCATAATTGACCAAAACTGGAAACAACCTAAATGCCCATCAACAAGAGAATGGGTAAACAAACTGTGATATAGTGATACAATGGAATACTAATCGGGAATAAAAATGAACAAACTACTGACATACACAACACAGATAAATCTCAGAGACATTATGTTAAGTGAATGAAGCCAGACCCAACAGAACATATATCAGAGGGTGAAATTTATATGAAGTACATGACCAGGAAAATTAAACTATGGTGATAGAAATCAGAATAGTGTCTGCCCTGGCTGGGATGAAAGAGGCACCAAGGAACTTTCTGGGCTTGAAGGAAATGTTTTACATCTATAGTAGGGAAAGCAGATGGCCTGCAATCCATTTACTCTCTTTATAGAAGTCGGACTGGGAACACGCCCAGAGCAAAGAATAAAAGGCAGGTGACTAAGTCTAATCTTCTTGTTAACTAGACCGATAATGAAAACAGACTATTTTCTAAGAGGAAAAGACCTTATCTCTGAAATGCCCGAGCAAGACATCCTGGTGAAGGGACTCATTATAGCGGACAGAATCCAAGATTTATGGATTTATGAGGCAGAGCTCCCTGGAGAATGTCACATATGGATTTAAGGGCTGAAGATTGAGTTCAATTACCAATGGTCAGCGATTTAACCAATCAGGCTTATGTAATGAAACCTCGATTTAAAAAAACCCTCAGAGTAATGAGGTTCCAGACTGATGAACAAATCCATGTGCTGGGAGACTGACAGACCAAGAGACTCCACTACCCCACCTCCAGCCCTCACCATAACTTGCCCCATGCATTTCTTCCTTTTATTTGGCTGTTCCTGAATTATATCCTTTATAATAAAACTATAATCATAAGTTTTATGCAGTTTTAAGAATAAGCCCTTTCCTGAGTTCTATAAGTTGTTTTAGTGAATTACTGAACCTAGGGGCAGGTGGGATCACGGGAACTCTCGAATTTATAGTCAACCAGGCAGAAGTGTGGGTAGCCAGGGGACCTCATTTGTGGCTAATGTCTGAAGTGGGGGAAGTCTTGTGGAACTCAGTCCTTAACTGTGTGTGTGGTCTGAGCTAATTCCTGGTATTTAGTGTCAAAAATGAATTGCAGGACACCCAGCTGGTGTTAGAGAACTGGAGAACCAATGCTGGAATAACATATTTGGTGTCAGAAAAAACACTACACACTTGAAAACGACACAGTATTCTTGGGGGGGGAGCGTGGGACTGCCCTGAATCTGAGGAAACCTTGAGATCTAACTACCATAAAAAGAAATACATGGAGATAAAGAAGTCTGTTAAACAACACAAGGATGCACATTAAGCAATTTAAGGGATATATCAACCAAAATGAAATGTATGGGCTTAACTGGGATCCTGACTAGAAGAAAACCACCACAAAAGGACATTCATCGAACAATATGGGAAATCTGAACACTGACTGAATATTAAATTATATTAAAGAATTGTTGTTAACTTCTAAGTATGAATAAGATTATGGTTGTCTTTTCTGAAGTTGTTTTCTATTAGAGATACATACAAAAGCATATACAGTAAAATATTGTGAATGGGATTTGTTTTAAAATAACTCATGAGGTACAGATTTACAAAAGATTGCCCAAGTGTTTAATAATTATAAAAACTGGGTGATGGGTACATAGGATTAATTATTCAATTCTCTCTCCTTTTGGAATATTTGAAAATTTCCATAGTTAAAAGTTTTTTAAATAACATAAAAGGAAATGTAAATAAGAAATTATTAATCTTTCAAACATCCAATGAAATCCAAAGAAGTAGTTCGGAGTATAAGAAAAAATTTCATCTATAAACAAATATAAAGGAGGAAAGAATGCAGGGGAGTGGGTGGAGGAAAAAGGAAGGAAAGGTAAAGTGACAGAAAAGCAAACAAATTAAGAGCAGATGAGCATACAGATTTCCCAGTTGGCCATTCTTTACCTTAAGCCATTGAACATACCATACCTGCAGCTCCTGGGCAGTCTGTTCTACTTTTGATTCTAATGCCTTATAACTTTCAAGGAGAACCTCTTTCTCTGTTTTAAGCTTTTCATTTTCTTCAATCAGTTTCTGGTCCTGCTTAATTTTTGCCAGGCTGACATTAGACCCTAAATTAAAGTCACCAACAGCCAAACTTTCCCTATTAAAAACAAGTTCACTCATTTTAAAAACCAAATTCTATAAGGCTGACAGAAATCAGAAATCTAAACTAACTTATCTTGGGCTTTTTATACCAAAATATATCTTAAAGTTAATTTTGGAAACTTATCTAAAACCTTTACCTAGTTCAACATTAAAAAAATATTTTAATGCAAACTAGATTTTATAACTGAAGTCATACTCCAGAAACAATGCCTCCATCTCAAAGAAAACATATTCCAACTTCCTCATAGCACTATTAACTCCAGCAAATACAGTGAAAAGCATTTCTATGTCAGTTTCTTCCAGTCCCTTCTCTCCCCATCACCCCCACACCATTTGACAGTTTAGTTCCTAAAACACTGGTAAGATCCAAAAAAACAGCTACATTACCCAAGACATGGCATCATGGCTTGCATCATTATACAGAAATATATGAATGGTTTGGTACTTATAAACATCAAATCTGGCTTTCTGCTTCAAGTTTGTATTTTAACATTATCTAAAAAGTGAACTCTTTTTGTAATCAAATCCATCACAGTAAGTTTTTACAGGAAGAACAAAGACTTTCTTTTGTTAAAAAGGAAAGGCAATTCTCAGAAACTCATTAAAATATTCTTAAACCCATAGGAAAAACTTCTAAGCTTATTTGAAATTCTAGCTCTGCCTGAACAATTCAGATTTAGGTGTACATTTTTATTTTTGATAAATGTATTCCAAAGAGCTGGCATGAAGAGTTGGTATGTGAAGTTTAAACAATTTAGGAATTTTTCTTTCAAAATGGCTTTTAATGAAAATATTTCTGCTAAAGCAGAGATGAATACATGTTAGAGAAAAACAGAAATAATCAGTATCATCCCTCAAAATCACTGACATAGTTAAAGACTCCAAAAGCATAAGCCTTGACATCTATTCTACTATGAGAGAGAAGGGCTTCTACCATGAATTAGAAATTTAGTAAGACTAAAAACCCCACCACAGTCTTACTTTGGAAATGTCACATGATTTCCAGCATCATTTTCATTCTTCAAGTCAAGAATCGGCCTCCCACTCAAGCGCCCCTTTGGCCTGCTGAAGGCTGACTGGCTTGATCTATGCCCCCACAAGGGAATAGGGCTTTTGAGGTTCCTGAGGACAAGCTGACCCGGATCTGATTTTTTTTCCTCAGAGATGTTAGTGCTGGAAGTGAGTTTGCATTTTTCTGCAAATCCTTTCTTAGCCACCTCTTCCCCTATATCCACACTGCCATACTCAGCCTGAGCAATAACTGTTCCATCTTGATAGGTTGCTTTAATTCTCATTTTTATTTCCTTTTCAAAAATCAAGCTCCCCAAAAAGGTTCTGCCCTGAGAAAGATAGGAAAAAAAGAAGACATAAAACAGCTACACCAACCTGTTTTTCTTCACTTATTTTGTTTCCGGCCAGTTTTTCCAATGATCTTATTTCTTCACTCTGAAATCTCTATAAAAGCGGTCTTACCTTGTTGCTGGCTATATGCAAATACACTTGCGCATGTGTATGAATATATTCCAATTACACACTTGCTAAAATCTTCCATTTCAGAAGTAGAGCTAATACCTGTATAGGCAGCCATGTTTATATATTTTAAAATGTGTACCAATTAAATACTTTTTTAAGAATAGTTTTTTAAACCAAGAAGATTGTGTTGAGTATTCTGGCCCCAACTAAATATAATGCTGTCCTGAGGAGATACAGCACATAAAAATGAATTTTGGTATCTAGAAAAAGTGTTCAAATTCAACAAAATTTTAACAATAGTTGTTTTGTTTAGGTTTTTTTTTATTTATTTTTTTTTGGTGAGGAAGATTTGGTGAACCTGTTGCCAATCTTCCTCTTTTTTTTTCCTCCCCAAAACCCCAGCACATAGTTGTATATCCTACTTGTAGGTCATTCTAGTTCTTCTATGTGGGATGCCGCCACAGCAGGACTTGATGAGTGGTGTGTAGGTCCATGGCCAGAATCTGAACTGGTGAACCATGGGCCGCTGAAGAAGAGTGCATGAACTTAACCACTCAGCCACAGGGTTGGCCCCTAACAATAGCTCTAAAGGCAGAATCGGGTACTGTGGTTTTAAATTAAGACAAGCAGGAACCCAAAACAGAAACTCAAAGCACAAGACATCAATAATTTTTTTAAAAACCAACAAAAATTATCAAATATCAGATGCTAGAAATTCCTAAATTCAAAACTCCCTTAAACAGAATTTTGTTTAAAGGAGTAACACTTGCACAACTGGCATATGAGAAGTCATATGAGTAATTAGGTATTTACTAACTTTAATTACTGATTATCCATCCAGAGTACTAAGCACAGATAAACATAAAACATATTTGGGATTAGAAGATATCCTGAGATTTAATTTTAATAACAACTTGCTTACATCTCCAGAAAACTGAAATTCCTAAAATTACTTTGATATGATCATATTTGACAATTATTCTTCTCTTCCCAAATTTCTCTAAATTCCTTACCTAATTTTTACCATGTACTATAGAGGAAATGAATCATTTCTCAGAATACATAAGGCATAAATTTGAAACAAAACAGATACAGCTCAGGTCAGCCCCAGTGGCCTAGTGGTTAAGTACAGCACACTCCGCTTTCAAGGCTCAGGTTTGGTTCCCAGGCACAGACCTACACGGTTCTTTCAGTGGCCATGTCGTGCTGGTGGCCCGTATATTAAAATAGAGGCAGACTGGCATGGATGTTAGCTCAGGGTGAATCTTCCTCAGCAAAAAATATATAGGCACTGGTCAAATTTACTGGTTCATATGTTCCTTGGAATAGGGACCTGATGTGATTAACCTGATGAACCATCTCTCTCTTACAGGGAGGAACTTTATTTTTAGGTATATTGCCACTAGATAAATGTGAAAAACAAGACAGTTTATGCAAATAAAGCAAACCAAATAGGAAATCATACCAACAATAATCCAGGTAACGAGTGTAAAGATCAAACTGAAAACGAGAAAATATAAGCTGGTTACAATTTTAAAAAAGGGAGAGAGAAGAGAAGGAAAAGGAAGAAAGAAAAAGTTTTTTGGAGCCCAAGAAACTAAGTAATATTAGTATGGAGTAACTATTTTCACTTTTATAGAGAGTAGAAGTGAGATCTACATAGGAGTTCTCAACCTTTTATGTGTCAAGGGCTCCTTTATCAGTCTGATGAATTCTTTGGAATCCTTCTCAGAAAAATATTTTTAAATGCATAAAATACTTAGAATTACATAGTAAATTATTCCACTGTGATACATTTTAACCCCAAGTTAAGAACCCTTGGGCCTAGAAGAGTCAGAGAAGGAGATTCAAACTACATATGCTCAAGGATTATCAACTACCACTAACCACCCATCCCGCACTAAAAAATGAAAAACATAACTTTTTTAATTCACAAACCAAAATGACATGGTATTTTAAGCTAACAAAATACAGGTCTTATAAATTTTTCAAATCATAAAATTTAAAAATACACACATATTGAGAGGCTCGAATTCACCAAGAATACCAATAAAGATAGCAAAGATGGTCCAGAAGGCATCACCAACAAATTAAATCAAGCAGGCAAAGCTAACAAATTCAAAATGTAAGTCTCACTGAAATATATCAGATTAAGATTTCAATTAATCAGAATGTAGTTTTTGATTAACCTCTTTCATACGAAAATCCTTGGTTTCAACCCTTTATGTTGAATGTCCATCTAAAATTCAAGTACAACTTCCATCCCTAAGCGAGTGTCTGAAAATTATTGCTGCAATATGTGGAATTCATAATAGTTCAAGAAACTCTGTCTTTGGGCAACATATAAATTTAAATAGAAATAATCTATTTTATACAAAAATTCCAATGACTTAAAGCTGAACGTTCTAAAGTTATACTACTCCTCACTTAGAAGTTTTTATGTAGAAATTTGATGTTTAGACTTTTCTCTGAAATCAAATTCCTTTTACTTATGGTCACCAATCACAACCAATACAACACTGTTCAACCAGATTCTCCCTGAGTCATATATAACCACAAAGACAGAACCCTGAACTTGGAATAAAACCTGAATTCTCCTCAGTTCTAACTATCAAAAAGAATGACAGAGTAGGGCTGGCTCTGTGGCCGAGTGGTTAAGTTCACGCGCTCCACTGTGGCGGCCCAGGATTCGGATCCTGGGCGCGGACATGGCACCACTCATCAGGCCACATTGAGGCGGCATCCCACATCCCACAACTAGAAGGACCTGCAACTAAGATATACAACTGTGTACGGGGGGGTTTGGGGAGATAAAGCAGAAAAAAAAAAGATTGGCAACCGCTGTTAGCCCAGGTGCCAATCTTTAAAAAAAAAAAAAGAATGACAGAGTAGATGATATCTGGGTACTTTAATATTATACTTTATTACTTTATAATAAATACATATTCTACATATTCTTTTCAAAATGTCAAATGTTTAATTTTTACAGTGAGAAACATATTTCCAAGTAAATCTTATATACTCGAGAGACATACATATATGGATTTTTTAGACACAGTTAGGTATCAAAAAAGTATAAAATTTACCTTTTAAATAAATCTGGTCATTGGTTTAGAATACACAGCTTTCAATCACTAAAAAAAGATGTCATTTTTCTAAAGATATTCATTGTGTTTTCCAAACTGGTAAGCTTAATTCAGAAACAAGTAAGCATCACTTGCTTTCTATACTTTAGTCTACGCAATTTTTTTTTTCATTTTTTAGGAGAGTTTTATTCATTCATCGATCCAATATTTACAGGGGCCAGAGGGATCAGGCTGTGCTCAGGGCAGAGAGAGGCAGCTGCCATGCCTGCCAGCCATCCCCTGCCCCCTACCCAGGTCACTATGTAGTCTACCTAACCTTGTCTGGATACATTAGAAAACAGGGTAAAAGGCCTTTAAACTGTCAAACCCAAATTCCAATCTCTAGCTCATTCCCTTATTCCACATAAATTTTTTGAAGTGAAAAAAGCATTTAGGACATAATTTAATCTTCATTTCATCTTAAGCAATTTGTAACCACCATTCTTGAGTATTAATTTCAACTGTGCTATAGCATAGGTGTGAGAGTGTTGGTTTAAAAATGTACTGAAGGTATTTCAGTGCCCAGGACACCCTCTGGAAGCACCTCATTTTTTTAAAACTGAATCCCTACTATTCATTCACTCTTTCAAATGCTAGATAAATTGGATGCTCACCTCACACTTAACAGGCAGAAGCAGGGAGATTAGGCATAGAAAAAAGGAATAAAATACTTGTCTCTACCAAGACGGTCTTGTCTCTACTAAGCTCACTATCTTGTGAAGGAGGAAAGAATTACAACTTTACATGCCTTATACACTGAGTGACTAAAACAGCAGCAAGGGAATCAAATTACATTTGAGTCCTGTGCTGAGTATTAATGGCTAAACATGGGCTTTCTAAGCAGATACATTCAAAAAGAACTATTTTTCCAGAAAACATTGTTTGCTAATTAGTTTAACTCCAATCAGTAGTCGTCTTACTGAACTTAAGCATGCAAATACAAATAGTATCACTTATTAAGAATCTATGAAGCATACAAAACATTCTCAATAAGTGAAATATACTTCTTCAGTTCCAAAACTAACTTTTAAAAATTACATTATTTTCTTGATTCATGTTTGTTTCAATCTAATTTTATATCACCTTACTATAAGAACAGCAATGGATTGGGGTTCTAGCCCTAGCTCAGCCCCAATTAGCTTTATGACTTTAAATAAGTCATGTAATTGTTCTAGACCCAATTTATTTGCAAAATAATAAGGTGAGAGCAGATGAATTCTAAGGTCTGTAAATTTAAGATTGTAGGGCTCTAGGCATGCAAGAAATTCAAAATGAGCCTCTACCTTGGTCAAAACATTTATATTAAAGAAGAAAGTAATAAATTTTAGACCTTAAACCAAAACTTCAAGATGTAATTTTACAATAATACCTATGCTTTACCCTATATTTATAAAAGTCTGAGTCCTAAGTACAGAAATGTTTCTTATAAATAACTATAGTGCAAACAAAACTACACCCAACAACCTACAAGATTCAGGAAACAAAAGAGGGAAACAGAAGTGTTCCAAATTTTACTGCTCCTTATAGTACTAATTAAATCATTTTTTCACATACATCATTTGAACTGCTAAATAAAACAATTCTGATTACTGTGCAATGTAATATCCCCTCAACACTAACACTCACCAAAAGAACACCATTACTGCACAGCAGATTTAAAAGGCACAATTCCTGTAAGACTACCCCTGAAATTACCAGATGTCTTCCAGAATTAGGTTACCAACCCAAAATTTAATGGAAATGAATTCAAACTAGAATCTACATTAGTAGAACATGACCACCAATTATTATATCAAACAGTAAGAGCCTCTGCCAAAACAATAAAATCTAATTAATTTATAACTCCGCTAATTTCAAATCTGTGATATTTAATGGCCAGGGCTAGGTTAAAGATCACTTTTATTTAATAAATACTTTCTCAAGAGCAAAAGAGAACAGAATACTTATATTCACCATTGTCTCATCACACAAGAGACTATCTTCTTGAACTTTCACCTAAGAAGAAACTATTTACATTTGTTATATAAATATATACACACATATATATGTATTACTCCTATCTGATCAAGAATGTTTAGCAAAGATGAGCACAAATATATTATTATATAATTGCTTTTGAATTATTCTATAATTCATACTTTTAATTTACACAGGCTTTTATATTAAAGAAAATTAGTGGGATTTAACTACATTTATGTTTTGTTTCAAGCATATAATTTTACTTCCATTAACAAAAATACTTAAAATCTGTGACTTGCCTGATCAAACTGGGTAACTTCTTGGCCAGAAGGAATCTGTAGTCCCCAAAGTCTATACTTTTTGGCAACACTAGAAAATTGCAGATCCAAAGGAATCTCAACTATATCAGATCGATTTAGAATTTCAGTATTTCCATAGTCAATGTATCTCACTAGACACTAGGAAAAAATGAAACAAATACTAATACTGAACTTAGATTAAACATCTCCAAAGACACCACCAATTTGCTTTCTCTTAATTACCTATAAATCAAGATAGCATTTTACCTCAAATGGACAATATGCATTCAGAAACAAGAGCTCCAGCAATATCCTCAAAATAAAGAAAATCACTGAGATCCCAGTGATTTCCATATTTAGTACTAGTTTAATACCAAACAGTACTATTTCCAACAGTACCGTTTCTCATTTTGGATTTTTTTTAAACTATTGGTATTTAAATAAACATAAATCAATTACGCTTATCAATCTTCCTTTGATAAAATGAAACCCACTCCAGCTATTAGACCTTGGAAATGATTCAAATTCACCCTTACCTCCAGCTCTATATCTGCTTAAAAGTAAGAAAGAGAAATAGTTTATCACAAGGTCAAAAGCCATCTTGTTCCTTAATTTAAAAAGTTAAAGCCAAACCAAAAGCAAATGCAAAATATCATCACCAGTTGTCAAATTGTGGGGAAAAGGTCTATTAGAAAGATCTATTTCACCAAGATAAACCATTACCTATGACAGTAATAAATCATGAGATTAAAAAAAAAAAAAGAGTTATTTGGACCCATTACTCAAATTATTTCATCTTATCATCTCCTCATTATACCAGGGAAAGTGTTTACAAAATATATAGATTATAAAATATTTTAAGTTCACAGAAGCAGATATAGAAGAAAACAATAAAAGAAAGCCTACAGAGATGCTTTCACACAGCCTGAAAAGTGCAAGTGCCACCAAACAGCTATTCAGAATCTCATCTCTCCATATCCCCTTAAAAATCTCCCATAAGTTCACAATGCAAAAAAATAAAATATCTTTAGATATTTACAAAGAAAATTCATCACAATTAGGCATGAGAAAGTGGCAGGCCAAACTTCATTATTAACAATATGCACATCAACTAAGTAAAAGATACAGAACTTCATGATCAATCAAATATTCTTTTCCTACTCAATCTTAATAGAAGGAACTTTTAAAAGTTACTCAGCAAGAGCCAAACGTAATTATTAAGAACTGAGGTACAAAGAAGCAACTCGTCACCAAAAATAATCCACAAATTATGTAATCTGAAGAACCTAGGGAGACTATATGACAACTTAAATTCAGAACAATATTCCCCTGAATTTGATCTAGATTTCCTAAAGAATTCATTTCTTTTTTGTTCACCTGGGAAAAAAACACATTTAAACCAATTAATCAATTCATTGAACTAGATTTTATTACTTTGAATAAGCAATGAAGGACTAAATAAGCATCCAATTTTGAAACCAGAATATTCATCAAGGCAAAAAAACTGAACACTTGTTCCTACCTTTTCATCACTGATGATTTTCAGTACTTTGCATCTGTACCAGCATTTATCTTCAGAAAATAATCCACCATAAATCTACAAAGAGAAAAAGAAAGTAAAACTGTTTGGCATTTTAATAAATCAAAGCATACAAAGCAGAATAATGCTTAGTATTTATTAAGCACTTACTGTAAGTTAATAAGTACATATATTTAATAATTTATTTTATTCTCACAACAACCCTACGAGACAGGTACTTTGTTTTCACCATTGTATACCCAAACTCATAAGCTAGTAAGCAGCAGAACCAGGATTCAAACTCAGGCAATCTGACTCTGGAGTCCATTATGCTATTCTGCCTCTCCAAAAAAAATAAAGGGAAGAGGAAAGACATAGACAAAAGAAAATTCAAAAAAAAGGTACAAGCATCAAAGACTTGAGAAATCATGCTATTTTAATGTCTGAAAACATATCTGGCACAATTAAATGTTCTCTTTTTTGCCTTTTATTTTTTATTTGTTTTTCTTTTAATTTATTTTATTGAAGTCACAATTGTTCTTAAAACATAAACATGCCAAGTACATGCCATTTAAGTCTAGTTTTCAACTCTGGGGGGGAATCCATATGTCCTACCACACAAAAAAGACTTTTGTATATTTTATTTTATATATAAGGACTTTAGTGCATTAGTGAATAAAGTTATATTAGATAACATCCTTAATACTGAACTTTCATTTATTTTAAATTTACATTTCAATTTAATTATGTTTAATCAAAGAACAAAGAGGAAAATTTACATACTTTAAGTCAACTTCTCAACATCAGCACTACTGACATTTACTCTTGGAGGAGGGAGCTGTCCTCTGTCCTGTGCCTTGCAGGATGTTCAGCAGCATTCTCCCTGGTCTCTATCTACAAGATGCCAGTAGTAACCCCTCCAGTTGTGAAACCAAAAATGTCTTCAGACATTGCCAAATGTCTCCTGGGAGTGGGAGTGGAGGGTACAATATCATCCCACTTTAATCATACCACTTTAATTTAACCACTTTATTTATTTATTTAGAGGAAGATTAGCCCTGAGCTAACATCTGCTGCCAATCCTCTTCTTTTTGCTGAGGAAGACTGGCCCTGAGCTAACATGCGTGCCCATCTTCCTCTACTTTATATGTGGGGTGCCTGCCACAGCATGGCTTGCTAAGTGGTGCGATGTCCACACCCAGGGTCCGAACCGGTGAATCCTGGGCTGCCAAAGCTGATCGTGTGCACTTAACTGCTGCGCCACTGGGCTGGCCCCTAATTTAACCACTTTAAATCATACATTCTCAGAGCTTCCGGGTTGGTAAACACATGGAGATATGGGGACAGTGGTGCACCTGGAGAGGGCATGAAAGCTCTGAATCCTTTCCCATATACCTTTCCCTATGCATCTCTTCAATCTGGCTGTTCCTGAATTATATCCCTTTATAATAAACTGATACTCCAGGGTCATCCCTCAGAGATTAAGCCCAGGCCACTGTCACCCCTCAAAGACAGAGCCTGGGCCGGAGTTTGACGAGCAAAACACCATGACTGAAGAGCTACTGAAAGCAGCTGCATCCCTGGAAACGTTGTCTGAGTATGTGAAAAAGGACTCCAAGATATGCCTGGCATTTACTGGAAATGTCTGTTTAAAGATATGTGATTTAGGAGCATCATGGCGAGAGAGCTCTACCAGTGATCTCTCCCCTACATGATACAATGAAAAAGACATTCATAGTCCAACAGAGGACATCCACACAACACAAAAGACATCTGAGAGAACCACGCAGCCATACATCGGAGGGAGGAGAGGCTGGAGTCCCCCTTGGAGGAGGTGGAACCAGGTAAGAGAAAACTTCACTCCTTCCCCAAAGGACTGCAATGTGGAACTGCACGTGGCCTCTGAGAGGGAAGGAAGTGGGTGGGAGGGCCTGTGAGTGGGAACATCAAACATCCCCGAGGTCCCTCACAAGCTAGGGGAAAGACCCCTACTGAGGTGAAAGGTATCACAGGGGTGACTTCATCAAGGCAACACCTTAGGAGAGCAGACAGCAAGGGGAGAGCGAGTAAGCCCATGAGAGCGCACAGAGGAAAGTACCCCTCCCCGCAACTGCCCAGCGCCAGCTCCAGCGCCTGGGATCCCAGCACAACAAGCGGCCTCAGAATACACAGCTCTTGACCTCCACCCAGTGGTAATAGGTAGTAATGGCGATCAGCAATACCAGGATTGGGGCAGGTCTGGTAGCAGAGCAGTTAAGTTGGCACATTATGCTTCAGTGGCCCAGGGTTCGCTGGTTCGGATCCCGGGTGTGGGCATGGCACCACTTGGCAAGCCATGCTGCGGCAGGCGTCTCACATATAAAGTGGAGGAAGATGGGCACAGATGTTAGCTCAGGGCCAGCCTTCTTCAGCAAAAAGAGGAGGATTGGCAGCAGATGTTAGCTCAGGGCTAATCTTCCTCAAAAAAAATAAAAATAATAATACCAGGATGCAAAAAAACAGTGTCATGACCTCTAGCAGTATCAAAAACTGTATTAAATCTCCAGACCAGAGAGGAGATGACAAGTACCAGAAATCAGTCCTGAAGACACAGAAATATGTAATCTAAATGACAGAGAATTCAAAATAGCTATCATCAAAAAACTCAACGAGTTAAAAGGGAATTTAGAAAAACAATTCAATGAGTTCAAGAGCTACTTCACAAAAGAGACTGAAACTATAAAGAAGAACCAATCAGAAATATGGAGATGAAAGACACAATCGATGAGACAAAACATATGGATTCTCTGAATACTCAAGCAGACATCATAGAGGAGAAAATCAGCATAACTGAGGATAGACATATTGAAATGCTCCAGATAAAGGAGGAGAGAGAACTAAGACTAAAAAGAAATGAAGAAAGTCTCTGAGAAATATCTGACTCAACTAGGAAATGCAACATAAGAATTATAGGTATTCAAGAGGCAGAAAGGAAGGAGAATGGAGCAGAAAGCTTGTTCAAGGAAATAATAGCACAGAACTTCCCCAACCTGGGGAAGGAGATGGAAATCCATGTGAAAGAGACTACCAGATCTCCTAAATATGCCAATGTAAAAAGACTTACTGCAAGGCATATAGTAATGAAACTTGCAAAAGTGAATGACAAAGAAAAAACTGCTAAGGGCAGCAAGGCAGAAGAAAATAACCTACAAAGGAATCCCTATCAGGCGTTCAGCAGATTTCTCTGCAGAAACTTTACAGGCTAGGAGAGACAGGAATGACACATTCAAATCTTTGAAGGACAAAAACTTTCAGCCAAGAATACTCCATCCCTCAAAAATATCCTTCAGATATGATGGAGAAATAAAAACTTTGCCAGATAAACAAAAGCTAAGGGAGTTTGTAGCCATAAGACCTAGCCCCCCAATGAGAAATCCTCAAGAAGGCCCTCATACCTAAAAAAAACAATGAGAGAAAGGGATTATGAAACACAGAGTAAGGAGACAAACAGGTAGACAAATCAGAAAATTGTAGCTATACATCAGAACAAGTTAGCAAATAGTCAAGTAAAACAGTAAAGATAAAGGGAACGAAAACACCAAAAACAAAAATAATCTTGTCATTTTTTTTTTAGGAAGATTAGCCCTGAGCTAACTACTGCCAGTCCTCCTCCTTTTGCTGAGGAAGCCTGGCCTTGAGCTAACATCCGTGCCCATCTTCCTCTACTTCATATGTGGGATGCCTATCACAGCATGGCGTGCCAAGCGGTGCCATGTCCACACCCGGGATCCAAACTGGTGAATCCTGGGCCACCGAGAAGTGGAACATGCAAACTTAACCGCTGTGCCACTGGGTCAGCCCCTAATCTTGTCATTTTAACCACAAATTCACAAGATGAAATAAGATGTGACAAAAACAACTTAGGAGGGGAAAGGAAGGAGAATGAATGAGTTTCGTCTAAGGAAATAAGAGGCCATCAGAAAATGGATTATCTTATCTACAAGATTTGGCATACAAACCCCATGGTAACCACTAAACAATAAAGCAGAACAGACACACAAATAATAAATAAGGAGAAAACAAAGAAGCCCAAAATAAAAAAACTACATAACTCAATTGGTGGACCGAAATACACGGGATGAGAAACAGGAAATACAGGAGAACCAGTAAACAAGTGATAAAATGGCAGCAGGAAGGCCTCACATATCGATAACCACTCTAAAAGTAAATGGACTGAATTCTCCAATAAAAGGACACAGAGTGGCGAGATGGGTTAAAGAACAAGACCCAACAATATGCTGCCTCCAGGAAATGCATCTCAGCTCCAATTATAAACACAGGCTCAGAATGAAGGGATGGAAGACAATACTCCAAGCTAATGGCAAACAAAAGAAAGCAGGTCTCGCAATACTTATATCAGACAAAGTAGACTTCAAGATAAGACACGTAAAAAGAGGCAAAGAGGGGCAGTATATAATGATCACATGGACACTCCACCAAGAAGACATAACACACATACCTACGCATCCCACAAAGGAGCACCAAAGTACATAAAGCAACTATTAACAAACCTAAAAGGAGATATTAATAACAACACAGTAATAGCAGGGGACCTCAACATTCCACACACATCAATGGATAGATCATCCAGACAGAAAATCAACAAGGAAACAGCAGAATTAAATGAAAAGCTAGACCAGTTGGACTTGATAGACATATATAGAACACTCCATACAAAAACAGCAGAATACACATTCTTCTCAAGCACACAGAGAACATTCTTAAGGATAGACCATATGTTGTTGGGGAACATATGTTGGTAAACAAGGCAATCCTCAATAAATTTAAGAAGATAGAAATGATAACAAGTATCTTTTCTGATTCCAATGGTATGAAGCTAGAAATTAATTACAAGAAAAAAGCTGAGAAAGGGACAAATATGTGGAGACTAAACAACATGCTATTGAACAACCAATGGATCACTGAAGAAATTAAAGGAGAAATCAAAAAATATCTGGAGACAAATGAAAATGAAAACGTTATCATATCAACTCATATGAAATGCAGCAAAAGAGGTACTAAAAGGGAAATTCATTGTA